TTTCAAGAACATTTCCATGCTTATGAGTTGACCAGGACAAAGCAAGATTTAGTTGTCTTTCATGTTGACAGCCTGCATTATCCCAGGCCTTTTGACATACAATTGTCGTATGGAGTGAATGACAACTGTCATTACTTACTGTCATTTGTAAGAGTTTGTTATGCTAATAAATGCTGTTACTGTAACCTGTATGTTTGTAGTTATTTTCATAATATAGGATAGATCACAGCCATTTAGAAATATAGCATCATATGATAAATATGAAAAAATAATGAAAATGAAATATTATTACACATTAGAGTGAACTTGGACTAAAAATAACTCTATAAAGTGAAATCATATTACTCTAAACAGTGTGAATAACCCTCAGTGTTAAATATTTTTACACATTTTGTTGTTAATTTTGACACTAAACTGAGTAGAATTAACACTAAAAAGTTAACACTGGCCATAGAGTAAATTTTACCCTAATTTTGAGTGGGACCAAATGTTATCTGAAACAGAGTTAAAATCAACTCTCTAAGTGTAAAATTGACAGTTTTTTACTGTGTGGCCTCATATCAAATGTGAAGGCAGAATGAGTCTACGTTTGACGTTTGTTTATATCTAATCTTCCTTTTCAAACATTTAAACAGCAGCGAGTCTGCAGCTGAGGGAACACAAACTCAAATTGTCGGAACAGGTTTGCTCGTTTCTTGGATTCATTTGGTGATTTATTAAATGTATAACTGTTATTCTAATCTGCTGCTGGGTCTCTTACACTTTTCTTTATGCTGTATATTTTCACGTCTCTGGAATAGTTGGCAGTTAGTCAGCTGGGAAACTCTGCATATCGTGGATATGCTCACCTCGCTCCGTGGTGTACAGGGCCGTTTACCCTCATGATTAATATTCACAATAAAAATATTAGCCGAACATCATGAAGTCTGTATGTGTTTCATAGTGTCGAACAACCTTTGTACAGTTAAAGCCAGCAGTTACTACATGACAGAAACACCAACGTTATCTCTTTTATGCGTTTATACACAGGTCACGCTGATTACTGAACAAAAACCCAAAGATCAGATGTTAAACAGATTTATTTGCTCTCTCTCCTCCTTAAACATGTTTTTAATGTTAGTTATAATTCAGAATTGGCGACTGAAACACGTAGGACACATAAGAACATCAGGAAATAAAACACCGATAAATATAACCTCAGTAAAAGAAGTCAGCGGGGGTTACTACAGCTGTGTACCGGGGCCTGCGCTTTGTCGGTGGGATTGCTTGCGAGGCGAGCGGGTTATCCAGAGGCGGCAGACTTTGAAACGGGGCTGCCAAGGGTATGCATTGGGGGTTAGCTGTTTTTTTGGGAGGGGTACAAAATGACATTTGAAAACCGGGGATTACAATAAAGGATTAATAGGCATGTGGATTTTGAGTTTTGTTTGGGAGGGTAAAAAATGACTGTCATATAGGATTAAATAATATAATAGCTCTGTGATTAAATGAGTTGTGTCAAAAAATGACATATAGGAAAATATATCATGTGGAATAAATCAGTCTGCTGATAAAACAGTGAGCACAGTGAGAAGATCTTCACTGAGCTGATCCATCTCATCTCATAAAATTGAGGCACAGGTGACCAGGAGGGGACAGAGGGGGAACGACCTTTTATTGCTTTTTTCTACAACAATTTCTTAGTTCAGCTGCAGTATTTGATATCCTGTAATGACTAAAATGATAATTTAAACAAATTTACATAAAAAGATTGTCTTTTAAATGTTAAGGTTATTTAACAACTTTAAAGGCTGAGCAGTGCTATTTTTAAATGAAAAACTCACAGGCTCACATGTTCCAGGATTGAATTAGTGTCTGATAACCCTCCCTCTTCCTGCTCTCTAACTCAGCACCTCCTCTCTGTCCACATGTTCCCTTGTTCCCTCCCCTTCTGATCTGCAGTTTGAAGATGGGTGCAACCAACATGTGGTGACGTATAAGAGCTGACAGATCCCATTCGCTACAGAAACCTATGTTGTTTAGATCAGAGCAGTTTCAGTTCTGAGGAAGTGAAACTCACACAGTCACTGACACTGTTGGGTGAAATGGCGCAGAAAAGTGTTCAGCTGGACCGAGAAACCTTCTCTTGTTCGATCTGTTTGGATCTACTGAAGAATCCGGTGGCTCTTCCCTGTGGACACAGCTACTGCATGAACTGTATTAAAAGCTTCTGGGATGAAGAGGAAAAGAAGAAAATCTACAGCTGCCCTCAGTGCAGACAGACTTTCACAGCGAGGCCTGTCCTGGTGAAAAACACCATGTTAGCAGTTTTAGTGGAGCAGCTGAAGAAGACTGGACTCCAAGCTGCTCCTGCTGATCACTGCTATGCTGGACCTGAAGATGTGGCCTGTGATGTCTGCACTGGAAGAAAAATGAAAGCCTTCAAGTCCTGTTTAGTCTGTCTGGCATCTTACTGTGAGAAACACCTTCAGCCTCATTATGATTCACCTACATTCAAGAAACACAAGCTGGTGGAGCCCTCCAAGAAGCTCCAGGAGAACATCTGCTCTCGTCATGATGAGGTGATGAAGATGTTCTGCCGTACTGATCAGCAGAGTATCTGTTATCTCTGCTCTGTGGATGAACATAAAGGTCACGACACAGTCTCAGCTGCAGCAGAAAGGACTGAGAGGCAGAGAGAGCTGGAGGTGAGTCGACAAAACATCCAGCAGAGAATCCAGGACAGAGAGAAAGATGTGAAGCTGCTTCAACAGGAGGTGGAGGCCATCAATCAGTCTGCTGATCAAACAGTGGAGCACAGTGAGAAGATCTTCACTGAGCTGATCCATCTCATCCAGAAAAGAAGCTCTGATGTGAAGCAGCAGATCAGATCCCAGCAGGAAACTGAAGTGAGTCGAGTCAAAGAGCTTCAGGAGAAGCTGGAGCAGGAGATCACTGAGCTGAAGAGGAAAGATGCTGAGCTGAAGCAGCTCTCACACACAGAGGATCACATCCAGTTTCTACACAACTACCCCTCACTGTCAGCACTCAGTGAGTCTACAGACTCATCCAGCATCAATATCCGTCCTCTGAGCTACTTTGAGGATGTGACAGCAGCTGTGTCAGAGGTCAGAGATAAACTACAGGACATTCTGAGAGAGGAATGGACAAACATCTCACTGACAGTCACTGAAGTGGATGTTTCACTGTCAGATCCACCAGAGCCAAAGACCAGAGCTGGATTCTTAAAATATTCACGTGAAATCACACTGGATCCAAACACAGCACACACACGGCTGTTATTATCAGAGGGGAACAGAAAAGTAACATTCAGTTTATTTGGACAGTCTTATTCTGATCATCCAGACAGATTCACTTGGTGTCTTCAGGTCCTGAGTAGAGAGAGTCTGACTGGACGTTGTTACTGGGAGGTGGAGTGGAGAGGGGGAGGAGTTTATGTAGCAGTCGCATACAAGAATATCAGCAGAAAAGGATGGCGTGAATCTGAATTTGGACATAATGACAAATCTTGGTCATTAAATTGTGACAACAACAGTTTTACATTTTGGTACAACAACATCCAAACTCGTGTCTCAGGTCCTCGTTCCTCCAGAGTAGGAGTGTACCTGGATCACAGAGCAGGTATTTTGTCCTTCTACAGCGTCTCTGAAACCATGACTCTCCTCCACAGAGTCCAGACCACATTCACTCAGCCGCTCTATGCTGGACTGATGGTTTACTATAATTATGGAGACACTGCTGAGTTGATTAAAGTGAAATAGACTGAAGTCTTTCATATTGTTGTAAGTTTAAATCTGTATTTTAGTTCCCTTTTAGTTTCTCTCCATCATTATTGTGGTATTTATGTGCTGCACATAAATCAGATGTCAGTCAAACATTATGGGCAGTACCTCGACATCTTCAACATGTTGTCTTGATGTTTTTACGTTTTATAGGTGGAGCTCTTTCCTGTGTCTGTTCAGCCATGGAGACTATCAATGCTTATGGATATTTTTATTTGAAAAATTTCTCCACATGACAACATAAACTTCTCTATCTTCTAAATGTTTACTGAATATTTTTCTTAGGTATTTGTATGTTGTTGTTTCTCTTCACTGATCTTAACAGAGAAGTCTACAGACCTTCCTTTATCACACAGATTTTATTCTCATTTGTACATTTATAAAGAAAACAATTAATTACAGAGCAATAAGAAATTTTAAGAAAGTGCACTATATCATAATTTATAGTAAAGTGTATTAAAGCATCGTTAGTTAGTCACTTATTTAGTTTGGAGCTGTATCATCTGACACTGTAGAAACATTTCCTCCAGCTTCAGCACAGAATGTTAAAAACAGAACTATTAATGAGAACAAACAGTAGGAACACAGTATCAGCAAACATCATGGCTTAAAATGGAGAGTAAAAATCTAAAAAGAAATAAACAAATTAGTAAAAAGGATTTCCTGTTGACATGTTATTGGTCCTATCTTGTCTGCAGCACCTCCAGGATGCTTCTTATATGTTTCTGGTTATTTTTGCACCAATTTTAGTTTTTGTCAGTAGGAAGTTCAAGTTCAACTCAGTGTGTTTGTTTGTTTTTTTCAAACTGATGCCTGACCTTGAACACCAAACATCTGTCAATAAAGCAATGATATAAAATGCTTATATTAGTACTGAAAAACTGCATATCCACTTTACAAATATAAATAATGATATAAATCCACAGCTGAACTGGAGGAGCAGCTGATCTAGTTCACTCATGTGTTTCTGGACTAAGAGTTGGAGCAAATACCTTATGATTCAGTGATGTTTGTTTTTGTTAAATATTTTGTAGATCCAAGAGTGAGTTTGACTCATGATGATGATGTTCCGAATTAAACAAAGTTGGTCACAAATTCTTCAAAGCTGTTTATTAAGAATATATTCACTTGGACTCATGAGACAGGCTTGTGATCCAAGGGAGCCATCAACTGGACAATTACTGACATGACAACAAAAAAGCTAAGTACAGAGGGGGAACAGAGGTGAAAATACTTGCTTTAAAGGATTGTAATGTTTCCTTTTAAAATAAGTCTCTAAGGTCAGACAAAGGGACAGAAACTCATAGCTTTCTACCAGCCCAATGACAAAACTATAAGTTGTTTTTTAACATCTACTTTTTCATCTATTTGGCAGTCACAGTGAAAAGTATAAACATTGGCACGCTTTGTCTTGTGATTCTGCTGTTCGTAAAAAATGACCATGCGCAAAGTACCAGACTTTAAGGCTTTGACTTGATGCCAATGGCCTGAGGAGGACAGTATTACCCTTGGACATGTGTAGTCTGCCGTCTACTCAATAGAAGAAGAAGAAGCGCGGAAATGGCACAACTGTCTTCAGTTTCTGGGAGAGTTTAACAATGAGAGACTGATGATGCAGAAGAAATCTCCGTGGTTAAAAACATTAAAAACAGTCGTCCAGGATGATGAGATCCGCCACTGGCTCAGACTGCTGTATATCAGCCGGAGACCCGAGATGAAGTCACGCAGCAGGTATGTAAAACTGTGATGTTCTCAATGAACTAACACAGGAACGATCTGAGCTCAGTCTGTAAGCTAACAGGCTAAAATCAGAGAGCAGCTAATCAAACAAGTGCGTCCGTTTTTTTTAAAGGTCAACTTTTAACAATAGACTTTCATGAGACACATCAAAACCAAACAGGGAGGGAAAGCTTCGGTTTTCTGCACTGTGCCACAGTTCGCTGTCTGCTTCGGTTCACGACGCCTCACTCCGGGGCTACAGACAGTTCTCTGCCGCCTGTGGTGCTCCTCACCTCCGTCTGCACCCACAGACTTCCCGAGGTGGAGGCAGGCCGGCAGGGACTTTGAGAGATGGGCTTTACTTTTAAAAATACCCCTTAATCAGGGTCTAACTCACTAAAAGATGGCCACATGTCTCTCTCCAACTTAATCTCTTTCTTTTAAGTAATTGTTTTTCATTGAAATGAAATTAATTGTTCAATAAAATGATTACATTTATAATTGAATTAAAGTTAAATGAATCAAGGTGATTTTGACTTTGCTAGTTAACAGGAAGAGAAACAAACTTACACAGGATAAAATGAAATTTGGACCCAGCAGAAAAAGTCAGATCACAGACAAACAGAAACATTCCTCTTTGGCTAAAATAAAATGCAGATTATTGCTCATCTGCAGTTTTAATCATGGTGAATAATTTATGATTCAGCCAAGTAAGATTCTTCTGTGTGGAGGTTTTTCCCCTGTCAAAAGGCATTGACCATTACCTTCATCTAAACATGGAATTTAAGTCATGTAGTTGCCGTTGTTTGTTTTTAAAGAGGTCATAATATTTTTGTGATGGTAGAAATTGATCTTCAAAGTAATAGTTATAAAGTGAATTAATAAGACTTTCCAACAAAGAGAGGGAGTCACATGGTGCTTCTGAAACATTTGTACAAACCTCTCTCACATATGTGAGCAACATGCTCACAGTGTACAGCCCTGCTGACTGAGGCTGCACCTTTACCTGTCTAATCTTTTTCTTTTTACTTTGTTCCTCAAGTCCCACATCAACATGAAGTGTAAGGAGGAGGAAGATCTGGCTGGCCAGCAGGTCTGGAAGCAGGAGAGGAACTTCAATCTGGACCAGGAGGACACAGATCCCCCACAGATCAAAGAGGAACAGGAGGAACTCTGCATCAGTCAAGAGGGAGAACAGCTTGTAGTGAAACACGAGGATGAAGGCATCGTCGTCTGGAGCGGGGAAGAGCGGCTCAGACAGCTGCATAACATCTGGAAACCTGAGAAAGATTTACAGACCAGCGGTAAAACTGTAATCGCTTTTCTGAAGTGTTAACATTAATATTAAACCTACAGTTTGTATCAGTCAGATCTATTTAAGGGAGATTGGTTATGGCGTCCACCTGAGTGGCAGTGAGACTTCGAGCTCCGACCTCAACGTCCTTTGCCTACGCCCAACAGCGGTTAAAATCCAATCTTTTAGCGGCTGCCTCACCGACTTAAGCTTCTGTTCTGATCTAAACAACCAAGATGCCGATCAAACATAGGTCCAAGCCTAAAACAGCCGGAAAGGATGGATCAGACGATGACCCTAACAACGAACCTGAAACCGAGAAAATGGAAGGTGCTAGTGCTAGTGCTCAACAGACCGAGGCGAGTGTTTTGGCCGCAATTCAGTCGTTGAAAGTACATTTCACTGCTCAACTGCAAGAAGTTAAAATATCAAACCAAGAAATAAAAGAGGCGATTGGAGTGTTTTCGGAGAGGCTCACCTCCGCAGAAACTCGCATCAGTAAAGTTGAAGACGACGTCTCTTCCCTCGTAAGTAAAGAGACTTCCCTTCATAAGAAAATTCAGGAACTACAGTTAAAGGTGGACGACCTCGAAAATAGAAGCCGGAGATCTAATCTGAGACTCGTCGGATTGACTGAGAATACTGAACAAGGAGAAATTACAATATTCTTGCAAACTTTCTTAATTGATGTTTTGGGACGAGACGCGCTCCCATCCCCACCTATCATTGAACGAGCACACAGACTACAAGGGCGAAATACTCCAAATGGCCCACCCCGTGTGATCATCATGTAATTTTTGAATTATCAAGACAAGATGAGGGTGATGAGAGCGGCACGTCTGAAGGGAAAAATAACGCACAACGGACATCACATTATGTTTTTTCCTGATCTGTCAACGGAAGTACAGAAACAACGGAAACAATACAACCAGGTAAAACAACAACTCCGTGAAATGCATATAAACTTCGGACTGATCTTTCCAGCAAAAATGAGGATTCTCCACCATGACAACAGGCTCCTCTTCCACACACCAGCGGAGGTGGAAGATTTCATGCGAAAAGTCCGGCAACAAAACGAGGGATAAACTTCACGCCCACTCAGAAACGCTACATCAAATATATGCAACTCTGATGAACAACTCCAAACCGGACATATAACGGCTGCTGGTGTACAGGTATGATATAGATGGCCTTAGGTATGCTATGTCTAAATCTTTTCATTCAGTTACATTTGTATGGCCACTTCTTTAGTTAATACGGTCGGACCTAAGTTTGTAACTTCAATCATGAGGACGCTCTATCAGCTCCTTCACACGGATCTGATGCATAACCAATCCGCTATGACTTTGGGGGGAAGGTTTTGAGATCTACACCGATGGAAGATCTCTGGGTTGTTTTTTTTCTTTTGTTTTCTGGTTTATAAGAGATTGTTTTTAAAGTGCAGTGCTCTTGAAATAACAACTTGTGAGTCTCGACAGGAGAGACGAGATGTAGTCAAACCCAGATTACTAAAGGTACAAACTGTATGAGTAGTTATTCAAATATTGATCTAATTTCCTGGAATGTAAGAGGCCTTAGAAAATATATTAAACTGAAAAGAGTAATGGATAGAATAAAACAATATCACCCAAAGATAGTCTTCATTCAAGAAACACACTTACTCGTGAATGAAACTGACCGGATAAGGAGGAGATGGCCAGGTCAGGTTTTCTTTAGCCACTTCTCAACACATGCTAGAGGAGTGGCAACACTCATTCATAAATCAGTACCCATGTGTATTAAAAAAAACCATATTGGACCCCGCAGGGAGATTCATTATTCTACAATGCTCCGTGCTGAATCAAGATTTAATATTAGTTAATGTATATGGCCCCAATATTGACGACTCCAACTTTTATAATAATCGATTTCTCTCTATTACAGACCTTCACGGTGAGATAATTGTTGGGGGGGACTTTAATTGTACCCTAGAGCCCAGGCTTGATAGATCATCAGGCTTAGACTCTTCCCATACAAAATCTAGACAAGTCATACAACACTTTATGTTTGAATTGAATCTTAAAGATATATGGAGATTAAAAAATCCAACAGGGAGAGAATATTCTTGCTACTCAGCCAGTCATAATAGCCGCAGTCGCATAGATTATTTTCTTATCTCAAACTTTCTTATCTCCAGAATTAACAGCTGCTCATATAAAAGTGTGCTTATATCTGACCACTCAATAACCACGCTTAACTTCTCAGTCACAGCAGCTTTTAGACGTAACCCTATTTGGCGTTTAAGACCACACTGGCTGCACAATCAAAATATTTTGGAATATGTAGGCAAAAATATTGATGACTATTTCTACTTCAACAAATCCGAAACTACAGCCTCAGTAAGATGGGAAGCTTTTAAGGTCTTTATTCGTGGACAGATGATAGGCTACACCAAAAACAAAGCAAATAAAAACTATACTGAGATGTTGGACCTCGAAGGTCAAATAAAAGAAGTGGAACTTGAGATAAACCTGAATGACTCTAAAGAAAACCAACAAAAACTTTTAAGATTAAGAGCAAAATACGATAAATTAACTACTGAGAAAGCCTCAGCCGGACTATTTAGACTGAGACAGACCTACTATGACCAAGGGGAAAAGGCAGGAAAACTTTTGGCATGGCGTATAAAAACGCTACTGAACGAACAAACAATAAATGAAATTAGAACTGCAGACGAAAATATCACAGATCCTCATAGAATAAGTGAACTCTTTGAACACTACTATTCACAACTATATACTTCAACAGGAGATACGACTCGAGAATCACTAGAATCCTTCTTTGACTCAATAAGTACCCCTTTACTTTCTGAAGAAGCCCGATGCGAATTAGACTCTCAGTTATCGATGAATGAACTCTCCAATGCAATCGATAAATTAAAAATGGGAAAAACTCCCGGCCCAGATGGAATTCCACTAGACCTTTTCAAAATATTTAAAGATAAATTAATATTCCCTCTGTACGACATGCTGGTGGAAAGCTATGATTCAAAAGAGCTTCCCCCTCCTTGCGAAATGCACTTATAACGGTATTCCCTAAGCCTGGGAAACCGCCTACAAAATGTGAATCTTATAGACCAATTTCACTAATAAACTCTGATGCCAAGATAATAAGCAAAGTACTGGCAAACAGACTTGAACGGTACCTTCATCTTCTTGTTGATAATGACCAAAATGGGTTTGTAAAAGGCCGACAAACGCAGCATGGGATTCGCAGAGTACTGAATGTACTTTACACAAACTCAGAACAACTAGACATGGCTCTGCTTTCCTTAGACGCAGAAAAAGCTTTCGATAGGGTCGAACATAATTATCTCTATAAGGTACTATCTCAATTCGGCTTTGGCAATTACTTCATGACCTGGGTTAAAATATTATATAATAAACCTATAGCCTCAGTTAGAACCAACAATATTATATCTAGACCATTCTATCTAGGTAGAGGTACACGTCAAGGCTGTCCCCTCTCACCTCTTCTTTTCGTCCTAGCAATAGAACCACTGGCTATTGCGATAAGGAACAACCAAAACATCTCTGGCATTAGAACAAATAATATTGAGTCTAAAATTGGATTATTTGCAGATGATATTATTTTAATGCTGTCTAAATTAAAGAGTTCAATTCCTCAGCTACTTAAAACAATTAACTTCTTTGGCAATATCTCCGGTTATAAAATTAATGAATCCAAATCGGCCATCCTCTTTTTAATCATTCTGAAAGAACTAAACCACCTATTCAAACAACGTTTCAAATTGCCAGAGACAGTCTCACTTATCTAGGTATAAAAATCACTCCAAAAATTAACGCAAATTATTCTCCTACTATCAACTCTGTTGTTGGCTTAATCAATAGATGGTCTATGCTACCAATCTCGATGATTGGACGTGTAAATATTCTCAAAATGAACATCCTTCCAAAATTTCTATATCTCTTCCGAGTCATTCCTCTCAACCCTCCAGATGACTTCTTCACAAAGACAAAAACAATATTCAGTAAATTCATTTGGAATAACAGACGAGCTAGACTGCGTCTTTCGCTACTATATCTTCCGTATGACAGAGGAGGTCTCTGTGTTCCAAACCTCAAATGGTACTACTGGGCTGCCCAACTCTCTGCGGCCTCATGCTGGTTCTCAACAACTACCCTACCCTGGGTAAATTTAGAAAGGTCAAGTACTACCCCCTTACCACTCAGCACTTATCTGTACTCTGCAAAATATAAAGATCTGATGAAAGATACATCAAACCTCTTTGTTAAAAATACTATTCGTGTGCGGTTCGAGGCACTCGAGTTTAAAAATGAAATGCCAGCACTATCCCAATTCTCACCTATCTGGGGCAATAAGGCCTTTAAACCCGGTTGGAAAGATTTGGGCTTTAAAATATGGGCCGACAGAGGCCTGTGCAAAGTTGCAGATCTATTTGACAAGGACACCTTAATATGTTTCAATGGCTTGACTCAGAAATTTGACATTCCAACCAAACATTTCTTTAAATTTCTTCAAATCAGAAGCTTCATTTCAAAAACTCAAAAATCTCTAACACCGCCCACCCTAAACTCATTAGAGGATATAGCAATAAACCATCAGCTGAAGAAGGGTTTAATTTCTCGCTTCTACAATAACCTTAGAGACGGCTCTCAAATATCCTCAGAAAAAGAAAGACGCGCATGGTGTCAAGACTTAGAGTGTAGTATAACTACAGAGGAATGGCAAAAAGCTTGCTTGAAAGCTCAAACACAATCTATAAACACTCAATTTAAACTAATCCAGTACAAATGGTTAATGAGAACATATATTACCCCAACATTATTAAATAAATTTGACCCCAAAACTCCGGACATATGTGTTAAATGTGGGGAAAAAGGCACACTGATGCACTGCCTATGGGAATGCTCAGAAATTCAAAAGTTTTGGGAGGAAGTTTTAGAAATAATTGCACATATTACAAGTGTCAAATTGGATCCATGTCCTAAATTATGCATCCTAGGAATTTTCCCCGCTGAAATCCAGCTGAGCAAAGCTAACCAAAAAACCACAACCTTCTGCCTGCTACAGGCGAAATACAGTATAGCCAAATCATGGAGATCCACTAGTAGACCACACGTGAGAATTTGGTTATCGACATTGTCAAAAACCCTTGCTCTGGAGAAACTTACGTCTATGATAAAGGGTAAACATGCTTCCTTCAAAAAAATGTGGGGAAATTTTTTGTTATTTTTGGAAGGTGAGGAAATGATCGATAATGTACAGAAATGATTCTATCTATTTAACCTGTATGGAGAAGTAACGTCACAGCTGCTAAAGAAAACCTGGGGAACCTGCGATTGCTGGTCTGCTAAATAGAAGGACAGGAGAAGGGACGTGAAATTAAATGGATTGGAAACGGAAGAGGACGCAGCTTATCATTGCAACCACTAATCTGGATGCCTCTCTAACTAACATGATATCCTTGGATTAAACTTCAGCCCGAAACCCTGGAATGTTATACTTGCTTGATTTTTTTCTCTCTGGAGCACTATCTGTAAACCTTTGCTTCAGGGTCTTTTTTTTTTTCTTTTTTTTTTTTTTCTTTGTTGTTGGGGGGTTATTTTGGGTTGCATATATTTTTCTGAAATAATATATGAATGATTTTCATGGGAGAGTATATATAATATATCTCTGTGTCCTCCTAACATTAATCATTTACGATGTACATAAATCATTATACTCAGTTTTTTGGTTTTTTTTGGTTGATGGAAAAGTAATAAAGAATACAATTTTAAAAAAAGTCAGATCTATTTAATGTGTATTCGTGAAAACATGACAGGGAGTTTTAAATGGACTGGTTCTTATATAGCGCTTTTCTACTCAATCTTGAGCACTCAAAGCGCTTTACAAAACTTGTGCATTCACCCACTCACTCCCATTCGCACAAGCACATTTTTCTTAGTGCTTTCTACCAACATTCAGACACACATTCCACAGATCAAAGAGCAACTTGAGGCAACTTGGAGTTAGTATCTTGCCCAAGGATATTTGAAATGCAGACTAGGTGAAGCCGGGAATCGAACCGATCAGTAGATGATCTGCTCTACCGCCTGAGCTACAGCCACCCCCAATAGTGAAGATTATTTTGAAAAATATCAAGATGTAGATCAGTTTCGAGATCAACTCCAAAATAGATCATCAGTCAGTCAGTAATAAGTGAGTTCTTTTTTGTTTGAAAGGTTTTTTTTACTCTTAATGTTGCTGAAAAATGTCAGAACTCAAGTTCTCATTTGCATCAGAGTGCACAAATAACTTCATTTTTACACACTTTTAATTTCACCTGCAAATGTGAGCAACATGCCCTCATTACAGACTTTAACTAAAACTTTATCTTCTCAGAAGTGTTTTTCTATAATTACATTTTTTTTATTGTTCGTTTAGACCTCCACCAGCAAACTGCCTGTAAGGAGGAGGAGTTTGTCGCCAATCAGCAGGAGAGGAACTCAAGTCTGGACCAGGAGGACCCAGATCCTCCACAGATTAAAGAGGAACAGGAGGAACTCTGCACCAGTCAGGAGCTGGAGGAGATTGTACTGAAGCAGGAGATCAATAGTTTTATGGTGACTTCTAGTTTTGAGGAAAGTGACCTCAGTGAATCAGAACCAAACGATGACCAGCTCCTTGCTCTTAACTTTCCTGAACCAGAGCTTGAGGAACAGGAAGAAAACCAGCATGTGGACTCGGGATCAACTAGAAATGCGGAGCTGAAGAAAAGGAGACGTCACAAAAACCGAACAGATAAGTCTCGGAGTGAAACTGATACAAGTAAAAAATCTGTAAGCTGTGACACTTGTGGAAAAACTTTTCAGTGTAAATCCAACCTGACGAGACACATGAGAGTTCACACAAGTGAGAAGCCACATTCTTGTAGCACCTGTGGGAAAAGATTTAATAAGAAATCCGGATTTGAAAGTCACGTGAGAATCCACACAGGCGAGAAGCCGTATTTCTGTAGCACATGTGGGAAAAGATTTGGTAAGAAATCAGGACTAGAAACTCATTTGAGAATCCACACCGGTGAGAAAGCGTATTCTTGCAACGTCTGTAGGAAAGAGTTTAGAGACTTGTCGACTATGAAAAGTCACAGAAGGATCCACACAGGTGAGAAACCATATATTTGTAGCTCCTGTGGGGAAAGATTCAGTTGGAAATCAGGACTGAATTTTCATCTAAGGATCCACCTGAGTGACAAACCAAATCACTGCAGCACCCGAGGTAGAAAATGACCTCATGCTCCAAGTCACGGTACATTTCCTGTCCACAGCAGTGAAGGGCACTCTATGTTGTTTGTTCCAGCCCTGACTTTATGTTTCTCTAAGTTTGATATTTTTTTATTGGTCTTTAAAGGTGACACAAATATTTATTGAACATGGATGCTCTTTTAATATTTACCACAGAAACTTGTATTTCTTCTTCAGTATAGAAGAAAACAAACATGAAAATGAGTTTCATCACTTGTTCCTTGTAACAACCATGATGTGATTCCTTTTTATCAGCCAATAAATAAGTTTTAATACACAGGAATAAAGATTTTAAAAAAGTTCAAGACAAGTATACAATTTTTATTTAAATATGTTTTCTTTGTGATTTATGTTAATGAAGGTTATACTTCAGCATGGCTTTGACCTGGTTGTCCTGGTTCTTCTTAGCAACATGTTGCAAGATTTGATTAAATTTTTGTGACTAATTTTGTGTATTGTGTAATCCCTGCTAAATAAAAGCAGTTAAATGTGCTATATTGGCTCATGATAAGTGTTTATATCATTTTGCCTAAATGCAAGTAAACTCAATGTTTGCCAACTCTGTGTGTGCAGTTTGCTTCATAAGTACAGTAACAGAACTTGAACTACATGGAGCCTATTTTGATTACATCATTACAGATGTAGATATTATTCATAGTTCATATTTCACAGTGTGCTGCAATCTTCTCCACAGACCTGCATTGCTCTCTGTTCAGACCCGTCATCTTCAAGATGTCCACTAGATGTCGTCAGAGTTCCCCCACTTTCCTCATCTATTGTGTTGCCATTACCTGAGCCTGCTTAAAACCTACAGTCCTTTACATATGGGTTCATTCAGGGTCATGTTTAGTGGGCAGGTTTAGTGCGATGAAGGAAACTCGTTTTCTTTAACTTTACCTCTGAGTAAGTAACTGGAGTAACAGACTCACTGATTCCTCCCACCTGCTGGACATGAACCAGCTGACTGACACTTGTTTTCATTTTCTCATTCATAAAGTTGCTACCAGTTCAATTCATTTATATTTATATATAGTGCCAAAAAACAACAGTTGCCTCAAGGTGCTTTATATTGTAAGGTAAAGAATGTAAAAACCTCCACAACTGAACAAGCTGAAAAGAGCAAATGCTTGGCAGCAGTGGCAGAAACAGGCTTTCTGTCGTAATCACTGTAAAACACTAATCACTGGTCAGTCATTTGTTGTGTTGCAATCGGTTACACTGAGGGAAAAAATTTCACAACTGGATCTCGGAGATAATGTGAATATTTGTGAAAATATGTGAAGATGAGGCTGAAATAACTCTGAGACTCTAAAACATGATGAAATGCTTACATATTGAAATGTGTGTAGTAACATGACCTACAGCTTGTTTAAGAACTCGTGATTTTTTTCCCCTGTTGGCATAAGGTGAAATCCTGCATAAAGGAGGTGACCTTTGCTCCCTGACTCAGACGTGATAAACATGACCCAAATCATTCACGTTGGTGCCAAATAATGTTTTGTTAAAGTTTAACAAGCTTTCCCAGCCTGAAACTGCCAGACAAACAAATCACCTGTTGGAGATGCTGGTTTAGCTCCCTGGGTAAAGTGGGTGACCCAGATGCTAAAGCCCAGCTATGACTCCTGCCTGAGGACTTTTAGTCTTGGTTTGCATCCAACTTTTCTGCCACAATAGTTCAATTTTCTTAATAAAACACCAAATTACAACAAGTTACCTCAAGGCAGTTTATATTGAAGGCACTTTATTTGAAGGTAAAGATCCGACAATAATACAGAGAAACAACAGGTAGAAGCAATGGAAGATTGAAAATAACGGTTGTCATTACTTTTCATTCAGTCATAAGATACAGAAACACCATCTGTTGTGTGTAAAGATGAACAGTAGGGGTAGGGTGATTTTCACCAGATCAAAGCCATGGATTCACAATTATGGTTTGGTGCTGTTGAGTACCTGGATAGAAAATGCACATGTGGAATGGTAGAAAGTGTTCAGCATGCTTTGATGATCTGCTTCAACTATGCTGGGGTGAGCATTACAGACTGCTTCTTAAATTTAATAACCAAATTGCATCAATGGGGAACTATAAATTCTACATTTGGATTTCTGATTATTATTTCTGGCTGATTTTCATTAGATCGACCTGAGTAGGGCAGCGACAGATGTGTGCGGTCCAGAAGTAGAAGAAGAAGAAAGAGGAGAGCAGAAATGATGACATTCTAGGCTCGCTTTTCACCTTTGATGTACTCTTAGCAGGAAGACTTTGGTTTGGTGATGTGTTAGAGATAATTTAGTGGTTGAAGCTACTGTGGACTGACCAGATCTGCCATCAGCTCAGAGTGCTGGATATCACCGCAAACCTGAGACAAAGTCATACAGAACAGGTGTGTAAAACTGTGATGGTGTCAGTGAAATAACACTGACTCATGCAGGACTCTGATAAAAACTCAGCTTGTGGGCTAACAGACTAAAATCAAAGAATGCTTCTCTTTTTCTCTTTTGTTAAAAACTTTGAACATCCAGTGAGACACAGAGTAAAGTGACTTTCCAAGATTGTTTCTTCTTCTACAGATTCAGATAAATGATGTCATTTTGAGCCAGAAAGAACATTTCCATCATAAAGTAGAAGACTTTTATATTCTTTATTTATTTATCTGGTAAAAAGTCTCATTGACTTTAAAATGTCTTTTTCAAAAGAGATCTGGCCAAGACCAGAAGCTCCAGTTTTCTCTGCTTCTGTTTGCAGCAGAGCAAAAAGGACAGAGAGCAAGGGACGAGAGAAGACACGAGACAAAGACATGAACGGGACCAAATACTAACCAAGACAACCTAAACAACAAATACTGAATAAATTCAAGAGCGTAAGCCCTTGAATTCTGATTTAATAAAGTAAATCAGAATACTTTATTAATCCTGAAGGATTAATAAAGTATTCTGATTCTGATAACTAGGAAACATAAGATACACAGAGAACAGAATAATGATTAAACAAGACTCAAAAAACCACAAACACAAAACACTGGGTCAACGACCCAGGTACCCTAACAGCCGAGGGAAAAGATGACCTCCTATTCACATCAGTATGGTATATTTTACTCCCATATCACTACTCAAAGATCATATTTTATTGTTGTAGGTTGTGGAGGTGACACACACAGACAAGCTGTAGTTCAACAATGACTTCATTCCTCTATTGACCTATAAAGAGGTCTTGTTACATAAGATTAAAGCTGGAAACTGACACACATAAGCTCAAACACATTGTGTTATTGTGGACGTTGAAGTCACTGCATGTGTTTTTCATGAAGATTAAACTTTCCTGTGCTGTTGGTTCTTTGTTTAATTCTGTTGATTCTTACTTTTTTGTTCCTAAAGTTTAAACTAAACTCTTGTTGGATACCAGGTGTTCATTTAATAAAGCTGCAGGTTCAAACTTCTAACTGCATGAAAATGTAATGTGTAATGTCATGTGTTTCTAAGTACCATCATTGATTTTGGTCATCAAATCAGCCATTACTCATTTAATTTGATGTAAATTTCCCCTAATTTGCATATTCAGATTCAGTATTCAGTACCACATGTGAAAGTGACCCAGATCAGATTTGAAAATATTGGATTTGTGCCGTTCACACTGTCGTAGCATGATCGGATATAGGGTCGCATAGGGTCAAAAAAATCGGATTTAATGCGCTTTCGCCTGCAGTGTGAACGTAGCCTTAGTTAGTTCTTAGAGTTTGGTTTCTGTGTTCCCCTCTATTTAGTGTCTGTACCGTGTCTCTGTGCATTTCCTGTTTTATTGTGAAGGTCCATGTCTTGTGTTAGTGTGTTCTGTTCACATTTCCCCCTGTCTCGTGTAGTCAATTAGGATCAGCTGTGTCTTTGCCATTCCATGTCTCCCCCTGTGTGTATTTATACTATGTGTCCTCGTGTGCTCCTCGCCGGTTCATCTGTGTTTTTTCCTGCATCATTCTGTGTCGTCTCCCTGCATCTCCATTTTAGGTTTCAGTTCTGTGTTGTGTTAGTATTTTCCAGTTTAGGTTTCACCTCCTGCTGGCCTCCGTTGCCCGTTCCTAGATGCCCCTGGTCTCATATCGCACTGGACTTCATCACTGGTCTCCCACCATCCTCAGGTAACAGTTATTCTGACCATCATCGATCGGTTCTCCAAAGCTGTGCATTTCATTGCTCTGCCTAAGGGGATTAGGTGCAAGAGTTGTTAAAATGTATAATTAAATAATAGATGGATTCAATAGCAAACTGTGCCTCGTTCTCAGATGGACAGCAAGTGGAATGTGATAGATGAGATGAGGAGATGGAAGGAAGAAGAGAGGCAAAGAGTGATTCACAGGCAGAGCTTAGTTTATTTCCCAGTTTTGTTGCCTTATGGTTCCAAGCGCCGTGACCAATCTTTGCGTTTTATTATTATCTCATAACACTTGTTTAATCAGCTACCCTCTCTCCTGTGGACTGTTTAATCTCTACAGTCTCAGATCAACACAGCCCTGCCCTCCAGCACTATCAGCAGCAAGAGCAGAAGCAACCCCCCAAACAGCAACATTGTACCCATCAGGTAAAAAATGGGCTACGTTTGCTTTGCATTGTGCCCACCTGATGACAGTGATGTAGTGTGATGCGATTCCATATTAGATTCTTGATGAATGTGGGTTGTTGTTCTTCAGCCTGCTTCTATGTGCCCTTTTTAACTGTGAGCACCCGCCCCTTTAAACATCTCTGCACTGCCCTGACTAAATGTATATATAAACTGTCTCTATGGTTTACAGTCTGAGTCTGACAAGCTGTCAGCTGTTCATTTCTGCTATTTGAATTGTTAAAAGAAACAAACTATTCATTTAGCAGATTAACAAAAAGAATAGAGAGGCATCCAGTTATTGACATTTATATTATTTAGTTAAAGGTTTGAACAAAAAACAATTAAACACAGAGCCTCTTCCTGCTTTCTGGAATGAATCACAGCATGAAAACCCTTCCTCTTCTTCCTGCTCTCTAGCTCAGCACCTCCTGTCTGTCCATATCTTTCTGTGTTCCCTCCCCTTTAGATCTACATTATGAAGATGGGTGTAACCAACGTGTGTTAGAGCTGGCAGGCCCCATTCACAGCAGCAACACTTGTTGTTCAGATCAGACCAGTTTCTATATTAAGGAAGTGAAACTTACACAGTCACTGACACTGAGAGGAGAAATGGCGCAGAAAGGAGTTCAGCTAGACCGAGAAACCTTCTCTTGTTCAGTCTGTTTGGATCTACTGAAGGATCCGGTGACTCTTCCCTGTGGACACAGCTACTGTATGAAGTGTATTGAAAGCTTCTGGGATGAAGAGGAAAAGAAGAAAATCTACAGCTGCCCTCAGTGCAGACAGACTTTCACAGCGAGGCCTGTCCTGGAGAAAAACACCATGTTAGCAGTTTTAGTGGAGCAGCTGAAGAAGACTGGACTCCAAGCTGCTCCTGCTGATCACTGCTATGCTGGACCTGAAGATGTGGCCTGTGATGTCTGCACTGGAAGAAGAATGAAAGCCTTCAAGTCCTGTTTATTCTGTCTGGCATCTTACTGTGAGAAACACCTTCAGCCTCATTATGATGTGGCTCCATTCAAGAAACACAAGCTGGTGGAGCCCTCCAAGAAGCTCCAGGAGAACATCTGCTCTCGTCATGATGAGGTGATGAAGATGTTCTGCCGTACTGATCAGCAGAGTATCTGTTATCTCTGCTCTGTGGATGAACATAAAGGCCACGACACAGTCTCAGCTGCAGCAGAAAGGACTGAGAGGCAGAGAGAGCTGGAGGTGAGTCGACAAAACATCCAGCAGAGAATCCAGGACAGAGAGAAAGATGTGAAGCTGCTTCAACAGGAGGTGGAGGCCATCAATCAGTCTGCTGATCAAACAGTGGAGCACAGTGAGAAGATCTTCACTGAGCTGATCCATCTCATCCAGAAAAGAAGCTCTGATGTGAAGCAGCAGATCAGATCCCAGCAGGAAACTGAAGTGAGTCGAGTCAAAGAGCTTCAGGAGAAGCTGGAGCAGGAGATCACTGAGCTGAAGAGGAAAGATGCTGAGCTGAAGCAGCTCTCACACACAGAGGATCACATCCAGTTTCTACACAACTACCCCTCACTGTCAGCACTCAGTGAGTCTACAGACTCATCCAGCATCAATATCCGTCCTCTGAGCTACTTTGAGGATGTGACAGCAGCTGTGTCAGAGGTCAGAGATAAACTACAGGACATTCTGAGAGAGGAACGGACAAACATCTCACTGACAGTCACTGAAGTGGATGTTTCACTGTCACAACCAGAGCCAAAGACCAGAGCTGGATTCTTAAAATATTCATGTGAAATCACACTGGATCCAAACACAGCACACACATGGCTGTTATTATCAGAGGGGAACAGAAAAGCAACATTTATGAATCAACAACAGTCTTATTCTGATCATCCAGACAGATTCACTAACAGGTCGCAGGTCCTGAGTAGAGAGAGTCTGACTGGACGTTGTTACTGGGAGGTGGAGTGGAGAGGGGGAGGAGTTGATGTAGCAGTCGCATACAAGAATATCAGCAGAAAAGGAGATGAATGTGTTTTTGGATGTAATGACAAATCTTGGTCATTAGATTGTAACATCAACAGTTTTACATTTCGGTACAACAACATCCAAACTCCTGTCTCAGGTCCTCGTTCCTCCAGAGTAGGAGTGTACCTGGATCACAGAGCAGGTATTTTGTCCTTCTACAGCGTCTCTGAAACCATGACTCTCCTCCACAGAGTCCAGACCACATTCACTCAGCCGCTCTATGCTGGACTTTGGGTTGGAGCCACTGCTGAGTTGATTAAAGTGAAATAGACTGAAGTCTTTCATATTGTTGTAAGTTTAAATCTGTATTTTAGTTCCCTTTTAGTTTCTCTCCATCATTATTGTGGTATTTATGTGCTGCACATAAATCAGATGTCAGTCAAACATTATGGGCAGTACCTCGACATCTTCAACATGTTGTCTTGATGTTTTTACGTTTTATAGGTGGAGCTCTTTCCTGTGTCTGTTCAGCCATGGAGACTATCAATGCTTATGGATATTTTTATTTGAAAAATTTCTCCACATGACAACATAAACTTCTCTATCTTCTAAATGTTTACTGAATATTTTTCTTAGGTATTTGTATGTTGTTGTTTCTCTTCACTGATCTTAACAGAGAAGTCTACAGACCTTCCTTTATCACACAGATTTTATTCTCATTTGTACATTTATAAAGAAAACAATTAATTACAGAGCAATAAGAAATTTTAAGAAAGTGCACTATATCATAATTTATAGTAAAGTGTATTAAAGCATCGTTAGTTAGTCACTTATTTAGTTTGGAGCTGTATCATCTGACACTGTAGAAACATTTCCTCCAGCTTCAGCACAGAATGTTAAAAACAGAACTATTAATGAGAACAAACAGTAGGAACACAGTATCAGCAAACATCATGGCTTAAAATGGAGAGTAAAAATCTAAAAAGAAATAAACAAATTAGTAAAAAGGATTTCCTGTTGACATGTTATTGGTCCTATCTTGTCTGCAGCACCTCCAGGATGCTTCTTATATGTTTCTGGTTATTTTTGCACCAATTTTAGTTTTTGTCAGTAGGAAGTTCAAGTTCAACTCAGTGTGTTTGTTTGTTTTTTTCAAACTGATGCCTGACCTTGAACACCAAACATCTGTCAATAAAGCAATGATATAAAATGCTTATATTAGTACTGAAAAACTGCATATCCACTTTACAAATATAAATAATGATATAAATCCACAGCTGAACTGGAGGAGCAGCTGATCTAGTTCACTCATGTGTTTCTGGACTAAGAGTTGGAGCAAATACCTTATGATTCAGTGATGTTTGTTTTTGTTAAATATTTTGTAGATCCAAGAGTGAGTTTGACTCATGATGATGATGTTCCGAATTAAACAAAGTTGGTCACAAATTCTTCAAAGCTGTTTATTAAGAATATATTCACTTGGACTCATGAGACAGGCTTGTGATCCAAGGGAGCCATCAACTGGACAATTACTGACATGACAACAAAAAAGCTAAGTACAGAGGGGGAACAGAGGTGAAAATACTTGCTTTAAAGGATTGTAATGTTTCCTTTTAAAATAAGTCTCTAAGGTCAGACAAAGGGACAGAAACTCATAGCTTTCTACCAGCCCAATGACAAAACTATAAGTTGTTTTTTAACATCTACTTTTCATCTATTTGGCAGTCACAGTGAAAAGTATAAACATTGGCACGCTTTGTCTTGTGATTCTGCTGTTCGTAAAAAATGACCATGCGCAAAGTACCAGACTTTAAGGCTTTGACTTGATGCCAATGGCCTGAGGAGGACAGTATTACCCTTGGACATGTGTAGTCTGCCGTCTACTCAATAGAAGAAGAAGAAGCGCGGAAATGGCACAACTGTCTTCAGTTTCTGGGAGAGTTTAACAATGAGAGACTGATGATGCAGAAGAAATCTCCGTGGTTAAAAACATTAAAAACAGTCGTCCAGGATGATGAGATCCGCCACTGGCTCAGACTGCTGTATATCAGCCGGAGACCCGAGATGAAGTCACGCAGCAGGTATGTAAAACTGTGATGTTCTCAATGAACTAACACAGGAACGATCTGAGCTCAGTCTGTAAGCTAACAGGCTAAAATCAGAGAGCAGCTAATCAAACAAGTGCGTCCGTTTTTTTTAAAAGGTAAACTTTTAACAATAGACTTTCATGAGACACATCAAAACCAAACAGGGAGGGAAAGCTTCGGTTTTCTGCACTGTGCCACAGTTCGCTGTCTGCTTCGGTTCACGACGCCTCACTCCGGGGCTACAGACAGTTCTCTGCCGCCTGTGGTGCTCCTCACCTCCGTCTGCACCCACAGACTTCCCGAGGTGGAGGCAGGCCGGCAGGGACTTTGAGAGATGGGCTTTACTTTTAAAAATAGCCCTTAATCAGGGTCTAACTCACTAAAAGATGGCCACATGTCTCTCTCCAACTTAATCTCTTTCTTTTAAGTAATTGTTTTTCATTGAAATGAAATTAATTGTTCAATAAAATGATTACATTTATAATTGAATTAAAGTTAAATGAATCAAGGTGATTTTGACTTTGCTAGTTAACAGGAAGAGAAACAAACTTACACAGGATAAAATGAAATTTGGACCCAGCAGAAAAAGTCAGATCACAGACAAACAGAAACATTCCTCTTTGGCTAAAATAAAATGCAGATTATTGCTCATCTGCAGTTTTAATCATGGTGAATAATTTATGATTCAGCCAAGTAAGATTCTTCTGTGTGGAGGTTTTTCCCCTGTCAAAAGGCATTGACCATTACCTTCATCTAAACATGGAATTTAAGTCATGTAGTTGCCGTTGTTTGTTTTTAAAGAGGTCATAATATTTTTGTGATGGTAGAAATTTATCTTCAAAGTAATAGTTATAAAGTGAATTAATAAGACTTTCCAACAAAGAGAGGGAGTCACATGGTGCTTCTGAAACATTTGTACAAACCTCTCTCACATATGTGAGCAACATGCTCACAGTGTACAGCCCTGCTGACTGAGGCTGCACCTTTACCTGTCTAATCTTTTTCTTTTTACTTTGTTCCTCAAGTCCCACATCAACATGAAGTGTAAGGAGGAGGAAGATCTGGCTGGCCAGCAGGTCTGGAAGCAGGAGAGGAACTTCAATCTGGACCAGGAGGACACAGATCCCCCACAGATCAAAGAGGAACAGGAGGAACTCTGCATCAGTCAAGAGGGAGAACAGCTTGTAGTGAAACACGAGGATGAAGGCATCGTCGTCTGGAGCGGGGAAGAGCGGCTCAGACAGCTGCATAACATCTGGAAACCTGAGAAAGATTTACAGACCAGCGGTAAAACTGTAATCGCTTTTCTGAAGTGTTAACATTAATATTAAACCTACAGTTTGTATCAGTTCGATCTATTTAAGGGAGATTGGTTATGGTGTCCACCTGAGTGGCAGTGAGACTTCGAGCTCCGACCTCAACGTCCTTTGCCTACGCCCAACAGCGGTTAAAATCCAATCTTTTAGCGGCTGCCTCACCGACTTAAGCTTCTGTTCTGATCTAAACAACCAAGATGCCGACCAAACATAGGTCCAAGCCTAAAACAGCCGGAAAGGATGGATCAGACGATGACCCTAACAACGAACCTGAAACCGAGAAAATGGAAGGCGCTAGTGCTAGTGCTCAACAGACCGAGGCGAGTGTTTTGGCCGCAATTCAGTCGTTGAAAGTACATTTCACTGCTCAACTGCAAGAAGTTAAAATATCAAACCAAGAAATAAAAGAGGCGATTGGAGTGTTTTCGGAGAGGCTCACCTCCGCAGAAACTCGCATCAGTAAAGTTGAAGACGACGTCTCTTCCCTCGTAAGTAAAGAGACTTCCCTTCATAAGAAAATTCAGGAACTACAGTTAAAGGTGGACGACCTCGAAAATAGAAGCCGGAGATCTAATCTGAGACTCGTCGGATTGACTGAGAATACTGAACAAGGAGAAATTACAATATTCTTGCAAACTTTCTTAATTGATGTTTTGGGACGAGACGCGCTCCCATCCCCACCTATCATTGAACGAGCACACAGACTACAAGGGCGAAATACTCCAAATGGCCCACCCCGTGTGATCATCATGTAATTTTTGAATTATCAAGACAAGATGAGGGTGATGAGAGCGGCACGTCTGAAGGGAAAAATAACGCACAACGGACATCACATTGTTTTTTCCTGATCTGTCAACGGAAGTCCAGAAACAACGGAAACAATACAACCAGGTAAAACAACAACTCCGTGAAATGCATATAAACTTCGGACTGATCTTTCCAGCAAAAATGAGGATTCTCCACCATGACAACAGGCTCCTCTTCCACACACCAGCGGAGGTGGAAGATTTCATGCGAAAAGTCCGGCAACAAAACGAGGGATAAACTTCACGCCCACTCAGAAACGCTACATCAAATATATGCAACTCTGATGAACAACTCCAAACCGGACATATAACGGCTGCTGGTGTACAGGTATGATATAGATGGCCTTAGGTATGCTATGTCTAAATCTTTTCATTCAGTTACATTTGTATGGCCACTTCTTTAGTTAATACGGTCGGACCTAAGTTTGTAACTTCAATCATGAGGACGCTCTATCAGCTCCTTCACACGGATCTGATGCATAACCAATCCGCTATGACTTTGGGGGGGAAGGTTTTGAGATCTACACCGATGGAAGATCTCTGGGTTGTTTTTTTTCTTTTGTTTTCTGGTTTATAAGAGATTGTTTTTAAAGTGCAGTGCTCTTGAAATAACAACTTGTGAGTCTCGACAGGAGAGACGAGATGTAGTCAAACCCAGATTACTAAAGGTACAAACTGTATGAGTAGTTATTCAAATATTGATCTAATTTCCTGGAATGTAAGAGGCCTTAGAAAATATATTAAACTGAAAAGAGTAATGGATAGAATAAAACAATATCACCCAAAGATAGTCTTCATTCAAGAAACACACTTACTCGTGAATGAAACTGACCGGATAAGGAGGAGATGGCCAGGTCAGGTTTTCTTTAGCCACTTCTCAACACATGCTAGAGGAGTGGCAACACTCATTCATAAATCAGTACCCATGTGTATTAAAAAAACCCATATTGGACCCCGCAGGGAGATTCATTATTCTACAATGCTCCGTGCTGAATCAAGATTTAATATTAGTTAATGTATATGGCCCCAATATTGACGACTCCAACTTTTATAATAATCTATTTCTCTCTATTACAGACCTTCACGGTGAGATAATTGTTGGGGGGGACTTTAATTGTACCCTAGAGCCCAGGCTTGATAGATCATCAGGCTTAGACTCTTCCCATCCAAAATCTAGACAAGTCATACAACACTTTATGTTTGAATTGAATCTTAAAGATATATGGAGATTAAAAAATCCAACAGGGAGAGAATATTCTTGCTACTCAGCCAGTCATAATAGCCGCAGTCGCATAGATTATTTTCTTATCTCAAACTTTCTTATCTCCAGAATTAACAGCTGCTCATATAAAAGTGTGCTTATATCTGACCACTCAATAACCACGCTTAACTTCTCAGTCACAGCAGCTTTTAGACGTAACCCTATTTGGCGTTTAAGACCACACTGGCTGCACAATCAAAAATATTTGGAATATGTAGGCAAAAATATTGATGACTATTTCTACTTCAACAAATCCGAAACTACAGCCTCAGTAAGATGGGAAGCTTTTAAGGTCTTTATTCGTGGACAGATGATAGGCTACACCAAAAACAAAGCAAATAAAAACTATACTGAGATGTTGGACCTCGAAGGTCAAATAAAAGAAGTGGAACTTGAGATAAACCTGAATGACTCTAAAGAAAACCAACAAAAACTTTTAAGATTAAGAGCAAAATACGATAAATTAACTACTGAGAAAGCCTCAGCCGGACTATTTAGACTGAGACAGACCTACTATGACCAAGGGGAAAAGGCAGGAAAACTTTTGGCATGGCGTATAAAAACGCTACTGAACGAACAAACAATAAATGAAATTAGAACTGCAGACGAAAATATCACAGATCCTCATAGAATAAATGAACTCTTTGAACACTACTATTCACAACTATATACTTCAACAGGAGATACGACTCGAGAATCACTAGAATCCTTCTTTGACTCAATAAGTACCCCTTTACTTTCTGAAGAAGCCCGATGCGAATTAGACTCTCAGTTATCGATGAATGAACTCTCCAATGCAATCGATAAATTAAAAATGGGAAAAACTCCCGGCCCAGATGGAATTCCACTAGACCTTTTCAAAATATTTAAAGATAAATTAATATTCCCTCTGTACGACATGCTGGTGGAAAGCTATGATTCAAAAGAGCTTCCCCCCTCCTTGCGAAATGCACTTATAACGGTATTCCCTAAGCCTGGGAAACCGCCTACAAAATGTGAATCTTATAGACCAATTTCACTAATAAACTCTGATGCCAAGATAATAAGCAAAGTACTGGCAAACAGACTTGAACGGTACCTTCATCTTCTTGTTGATAATGACCAAAATGGGTTTGTAAAAGGCCGACAAACGCAGCATGGGATTCGCAGAGTACTGAATGTACTTTACACAAACTCAGAACAACTAGACATGGCTCTGCTTTCCTTAGACGCAGAAAAAGCTTTCGATAGGGTCGAACATAATTATCTCTATAAGGTACTATCTCAATTCGGCTTTGGCAATTACTTCATGACCTGGGTTAAAATATTATATAATAAACCTATAGCCTCAGTTAGAACCAACAATATTATATCTAGACCATTCTATCTAGGTAGAGGTACACGTCAAGGCTGTCCCCTCTCACCTCTTCTTTTCGTCCTAGCAATAGAACCACTGGCTATTGCGATAAGGAACAACCAAAACATCTCTGGCATTAGAACAAATAATATTGAGTCTAAAATTGGATTATTTGCAGATGATATTATTTTAATGCTGTCTAAATTAAAGAGTTCAATTCCTCAGCTACTTAAAACAATTAACTTCTTTGGCAATATCTCCAGTTATAAAATTAATGAATCCAAATCGGCCATCCTTTTTTTTAATCATTCTGAAAGAACTAAACCACCTATTCAAACAACGTTTCAAATTGCCAGAGACAGTCTCTCTAGGTATAAAAATTACTCCAAAAATTAACGAATTGGTAAACGCAAATTATTCTCCCACTATCAACTCTGTTGTTGGCTTAATCAATAGATGGTCTATGCTACCAATCTCGATGATTGGACGTGTAAATATTCTCAAAATGAACATCCTTCCAAAATTTCTATATTTCTTCCGAGTCATTCCTCTCAACCCTCCAGATGACTTCTTCACAAAGACAAAAACAATATTCAGTAAATTCATTTGGAATAACAGACGAGCTAGACTGCGTCTTTCGCTACTATATCTTCCGTATGACAGAGGAGGTCTCTGTGTTCCAAACCTCAAATGGTACTACTGGGCTGCCCAACTCTCTGCGGCCTCATGCTGGTTCTCAACAACTACCCTACCCTGGGTAAATTTAGAAAGGTCAAGTACTACCCCCTTACCACTCAGCACTTATCTGTACTCTGCAAAATATAAAGATCTGATGAAAGATACATCAAACCTCTTTGTTAAAAATACTATTCGTGTGCGGTTCGAGGCACTCGAGTTTAAAAATGAAATGCCAGCACTATCCCAATTCTCACCTATCTGGGGCAATAAGGCCTTTAAACCCGGTTGGAAAGATTTGGGCTTTAAAATATGGGCCGACAGAGGCCTGTGCAAAGTTGCAGATCTATTTGACAAGGACACCTTAATATGTTTCAATGGCTTGACTCAGAAATTTGACATTCCAACCAAACATTTCTTTAAATTTCTTCAAATCAGAAGCTTCATTTCAAAAACTCAAAAATCTCTAACACCGCCCACCCTAAACTCATTAGAGGATATAGCAATAAACCATCAGCTGAAGAAGGGTTTAATTTCTCGCTTCTACAATAACCTTAGAGACGGCTCTCAAATATCCTCAGAAAAAGAAAGACGCGCATGGTGTCAAGACTTAGAGTGTAGTATAACTACAGAGGAATGGCAAAAAGCTTGCTTGAAAGCTCAAACACAATCTATAAACACTCAATTTAAACTAATCCAGTACAAATGGTTAATGAGAACATATATTACCCCAACATTATTAAATAAATTTGACCCCAAAACTCCGGACATATGTGTTAAATGTGGGGGAAAGGGCACACTGATGCACTGCCTATGGGAATGCTCAGAAATTCAAAAGTTTTGGAAGGAAGTTTTAGAAATAATTGCACATATTACAAGTGTCAAATTGGATCCATGTCCTAAATTATGCATCCTAGGAATTTTCCCCGCTGAAATCCAGCTGAGCAAAGCTAACCAAAAAACCACAACCTTCTGCCTGCTACAGGCGAAATACAGTATAGCCAAATCATGGAGATCCACTAGTAGACCACACGTGAGAATTTGGTTATCGACATTGTCAAAAACCCTTGCTCTGGAGAAACTTACGTCTATGATAAAGGCTAAACATGCTTCCTTCAAAAAAATGTGGGGAAATTTTTTGTTATTTTTGGAAGGTGAGGAAATGATCGATAATGTACAGAAATGATTCTATCTATTTAACCTGTATGGAGAAGTAACGTCACAGCTGCTAAAGAAAACCTGGGGAACCTGCGATTGCTGGTCTGCTAAATAGAAGGACAGGAGAAGGGACGTGAAATTAAATGGATTGGAAACGGAAGAGGACGCAGCTTATCATTGCAACCACTAATCTGGATGCCTCTCTAACTAACATGATATCCTTGGATTAAACTTCAGCCCGAAACCCTGGAATGTTATACTTGCTTGATTTTTTTTCTCTCTGGAGCACTATCTGTAAACCTTTGCTTCAGGGTCTTTTTTTTTTTTTTTTTTTTTTTTTTTTTTTGTTGTTGGGGGGTTATTTTGGGTTGCATATATTTTTCTGAAATAATATATGAATGATTTTCATGGGAGAGTATATATAATATATCTCTGTGTCCTCCTAACATTAATCATTTACGATGTACATAAATCATTATTATATACTCAGTTTTTTGGTTTTTTTTGGTTGATGGAAAAGTAATAAAGAATAAAATTTATAAAAATGTCAGATCTATTTAATGTGTATTCGTAAAAACATGACAGGGAGTTTTAAATGGACTGGTTCTTATATAGCGCTTTTCTACTCAATCTTGAGCACTCAAAGCGCTTTACAAAACTTGTGCATTCACCCACTCACTCCCATTCGCACAAGCACATTTTTCTTAGTGCTTTCTACCAACATTCAGACACACATTCCACAGATCAAAGAGCAACTTGAGGCAACTTGGAGTTAGTATCTTGCCCAAGGATATTTGAAATGCAGACTAGGTGAAGCCGGGAATCGAACCGATCAGTAGATGATCTGCTCTACCGCCTGAGCTACAGCCACCCCCAATAGTGAAGATTATTTTGAAAAATATCAAGATGTAGATCAGTTTCGAGATCAACTCCAAAATAGATCATCAGTCAGTCAGTAATAAGTGAGTTCTTTTTTGTTTGAAAGGTTTTTTTTACTCTTAATGTTGCTGAAAAATGTCAGAACTCAAGTTCTCATTTGCATCAGAGTGCACAAATAACTTCATTTTTACACACTTTTAATTTCACCTGCAAATGTGAGCAACATGCCCTCATTACAGACTTTAACTAAAACTTTATCTTCTCAGAAGTGTTTTTCTATAATTACATTTTTTTTATTGTTCGTTTAGAAGCAATAGTGGAGAGACCGGCTGACTGCTGCAGAAGAAATCTGCTCTGAGGTTAACAGAACGTCTGATCGTCCAGTATGAGATCAACCTTCAGCAGAGACTGCTGGATATCAGCCGGAAACCCGAGATAAAGTTACGCATAACAGGTAAAACTGCGATGGTCTCAGTGGACTAACACAAGAATACAACTCATGTAGGACCTGATCAGAGCTCAGCTTGTAGGCTAACATACTGAAATCAGGGAGCGGCTAATCACACAAGTGCGTCTCTTTTTTACGGTGAACTTTTAGCATTAAACAAACCTTGAGACCGAGAGAAAGTGCCTTTATAGAAGATTTATTTAGAAGATTAAGATAAAGGAGGCAGGGAGGGAAAGCTTCGGTTTTCTGCACTGTGCCACAGTTCGCTGTCTGCTTCGGCTCTCTGACCCTCACTCCGGGGCTACAGACAGTCCTCTGCCGCCTGTGGTGCTCCTCACCTCCGTCTGCACCCACAGGCTTCCCGAGGTGGAGGCAGGCCGGCAGGGACTTTGAGAGATGGGCTTTACTTTCAAAAATACCCCTTAATCAGGGTCTAACCCTACAAGACCATCGTGCCTCCCCCACCATCCTCACCTCATTTTAAAATGTATATTTTTCAACTGAATTATATTTGGGTTCAAGAAAATGATGAAGTTTTTAAAATAACTTTGTAATGTTCTAATAAACAGTCTTAACTCGAACTAAATCAGCTCAAATCTCACAGATGTCAGTGTTATTCACAAAGCATGGAAACATAGTTGTTAGTTTTGAATGCAGCCACAGCAGGCAAACTATGGCTGCATGCTCCAAAGAACAGGAGCACAGTAACTGAACACACTCTTAGCACACTTACATCTGATTTTGGGAACAGTTAACAGATCTGAACCTGATGACCTGAGAGGTTTAACTGGGTCAAAGGTCGAGAGCCAATTGAAAACTGTCCAGTTAAACCAACTAAATGATGAAACCTTTGATTTAAAATGTCATGATCAACAGTATCAAAGGCAGCAATGAGATCAAATAGAACTAAGACTGAAACTCTGAGTCCCTAATAATCTTCAGATCACTGATGACTTTAGTTGGGTTGATTCTGTGCAATGACTGGCTGTGAAACCTGACTGGTACTTATCTGCTATGGCACTGTGAGATTTTCAGTTTAATCTACAACAATGACAAACATTTACTTGCAGCGTGAAGCTGGCAGCAGCTACCTGAATGATTTGTACTCTGAACTTTCCTAATAAGAGTATCAGAGCTCGAGAGTAACTTACACTTTCATTGTTCACGTTTGTACAGTGTAAATTTCACTCCCATATGAGGACATGCTCAGAGTGGACTATATTTGCTCAGATGTGTTTTCCTGTCATCACATTATTAACCTTTTTCCTCAGTGACCCTTTGTTCCTCAAGATCTCCCCCTAACATGAAGTGTGAGGAAGAGGAGGGCCTGTATGACCAGCAGGTCTCCAACCAGGAGAGGAACTCCAGTCTGGACCAGGAGGGCCCAGATCCTCCACAGATCAAAGAGGAAGAGGAGGAACTCTGCATCAGCGATGACGTAGAAAAGATTGTACTCAAACAGGAGGATGAAGGCCTCATCTGGACTGAAGAAGAGCAGCTCAGACAGCTGGATAACATCTGGAAACCTGAAATGAACTTACACAGCAGGGGTATGTAAAACCGTAATGGTCTTACCTAAAAATTAATATGACTTTAATTCATTCAATAAAGATATTTTGGAAACACATCAGAGTTCTTCAAGGCCAGTGTTTAAATAAACTCAGCTGATTGTTAGTCGAGGTTTTCTGAGAGCTTCGCTGCTTTTTATCCCCATATTTTAATCCTACTTTTAAATTTCCCCTTCTGTCTGATGTTTGTCTTATCATTTACATAAACATCTTTCCAACAGTAATTGGTGGACAAACTGTGATTGGTGCATAGAAATTTACTAACGTGTTAGAAGTGAGTGCATGAAATCTTATTTTAACAGTTTCCAGGTCTGGGTAAATGATATGATGATATTTCGGATGATATTTTGATTAAACTCTGTTGTAGAGTTGGAAATGGACAGCTGTAGACACCACTGCCGAGTAGTCATTCTTGTTATACTTCTATATTTATCTAAGACAAGTAATTTTGTCCATTTGTCACCTCAGCTTTCCCACAACAGCATGAATGTGAGGAGGAACTGGTTTTTGGGGACCAGGAGAGAAACTTCAGCCTCGACCAGGAGGATCCGGAGCTTCCACAGATAAAAGAGGAAGAGGAGGAACCTTGCACCAGTCAGGACGTAGATCAGCTTGTAGTGAAGCAGGAGACTGAAGGCATTATTATCTTCATGGTGGCTCCTACTTATGAGGAAAGTGAGCCAGAGCTGGACAGTGAACATCTCCTTTCTTCCAGCTCTCCTGAACCAGAGAGCAGAGATCAGCAAGACAACTTTCCTGTGTCAGAGAGTCAGCGTAAAACTGACACAAGTAAAAAGTTTGTGAAATGTGAGATTTGTGGAAAAACCTTTGAGTACAGATCCAAACTAACGAGACATATGAGGGTTCACACAGGTGAGAAGCCACATTCTTGCAGCACCTGCGGAAAAAGATTCAGCCTGATGATAAACTTGAAAACTCACATGAGAATCCACACAGGTGAGAAGCTTCATTCAGAGGATACAGTTACAAAGACACATGAGGATTCACACTAGTTAAAAGTGGGAGAACTGTCAGATGAAGCAGTCCACTGAGAAGCCAGATCAGAGCAGATCAGATGACCTCCTTCCTTAAAACTCTCTGTATTGTTTATTGTATGTAGGGGTGGGAGATATAGCCTCAAAATAATATTTCGAGAAACTTACATTTAAAAAAAATAATGTACATTTTATCAGCTCGGCAGGCAGCAGCATTTATATGTGTAAGTAAATGATGGATTTTCCATCTTTCTCTTCCAGTGAGCTGCTGTCACTGATGACAGCTTAGCTAATTCAAAGTGTGAAAATGTGGCCACCTCAAGGTGCTTGATATTGTAAGGTAAAGACCCAACAATAATACAATGAAAACAGAGAAAACCCAAACAGTCATATGACCCCCTATTAGCAAGCGTTTTGGCGACAGTGGGAAGGAAAAACTCCTTTTTAACAGGAAGAAACCTCCAGCAGAACCAGGCTCAGGGAGGGACCCCCATCTGCAACAAGGAAAGTTTTAAGTCTAATCTTAAAAGCTGAAGGCTCTGCCTCCCATTCTACCTTTAAATACTCTATGAACAACATTATAGTGCAATGTTAGTGACACGGCATACATGAAATATGAGCACATAAGTATCCTCAGGGGTGTTTTTCCTGGAAGTTTTAAGAAAAGTGTATTACAAGTGCTTACACTCTAGCTTAATATCCAAAATAACCTTGTAATGCGGAGCCTGCACAATTCTGTCATATAAGGAAAAGAAATTCTACCTGGTTTGTTTCATCTTGGGTCGAGCTTTTTAACCTCCTGCTTTTCCACCGTGTAGCACATCAGTAATTTCCATCCACTGACTGCTCTTGCTGTTATATGAAATGTAACTCGCGAGTGCTCCAGTGATGCATGGTTGAATCATTTGTTTACCTTTGGGTCGCACATCACTGCTGCTAGTATCTCCTGCTCACGTGCCTTCACAGCCCGGTTGTACTCAAGTGTGTTTTTGCTTAAAGTGTTGTAACAGGTTTGCTTTTTTCACTTTCAGTGGGAAAAGTTTTCTTGCATATTTTGCGAACATTCAGCTACCAAACTGTGACTGGAGCCCGACATATGGCTCTGGCTGTGAGACATGACTGGGGTTGACTCATTGGGGTGAATGCAAACACATGATGTTCCTCTAAACACACTTTTTTGTAAACATTTATACCAGTATTATTGCAGATCATATGATATGTCACAGCCCTAATTCTGTTTGTTGCATATTCCATTAAAACCTGTAATGAAGATGAAACACGTATTTACATTCATTTGATGTGATATTTGTATCGTGTTGAGCTGTGGAGGTGACAAAAAAGTTGCTGAGATGTTTTATTTTTTTGTTTAGTGGAGAGGTTTTACTCCACAGAGTCAAAGCTGGAAAGAAACACACATGAGACCAAACATTTTGTGATTTAATCTTGATTTTCATGAAGACTGAATTTCAGCATGTGCTCATCCTGTTGATTCGTATGTTGGTGTTGGTTATGTCTTAAAAGTGAAATAAAGATTTCTTTAAAACTTCTTGTGGCTATTTTTTTAAGGCACAATCTTTACAACATGAAACAACGTCTGTGAAGCACATTTTGTACAGTGGGCAGGGAGACTTGCCCATCACTGTGGTGGTGGGGTGGATGAGATTTGCCTGCGGTCACTTAAGGCTCTGTATGTTGTGGGTCTGTCCTGGTTGTCCTGCTCAAACATTGTATGGAAGTTGAGGTCAGTGCCTTCAGACCGGCCAACTATGGTGGTAATCATGGTCCCCTGTTTTATGAAGGGAGTGTAGAGGGTATGTTTGCACTTCAGGCCTCCCTAGGAAGGTCTATATCTGTAGTCACTTTCACTGTTTTCTTATTGCTGTTTCAAATTGTTGTTTCTGTTTGTAGCCTTTTTATTGAAGGATTTTGGTTTATATTATTAATATGTGCATTTGTTGTTATTAATAATATTTGCTTCACTCTCCATTTGATGTGTTTTTGGTATGTTTTACTTTTAATTGTTCTATGATTATGTTTATGTGTGGTTTATAATTATATTTAAGTTCTGGGTTTTTTTATGAATAAAAGTGACTTAACTTGTCAGAGATATGAGACTTTGGGCATTTCCCCTTCTGTCTTATTCTCAGTGTCTTGTCTCCATGTTTATTTACCTCTGTGTTGCTATCTTTGTGTCTCTGTCTCTTTCTCTTCCCCTGTTCAGTGGGATTTAAGACTTCCAACAAATAATTTCAAAGGGTCAATTAAATTTTAATAAAACAATTTTACTCAACACTGCACTCGAATTTTAGCATTTTTTTTTACTCAGTCATAAAAAGATTCATCTTAAAATATGTTTTAGATACATTTTTATTACTTTTTTCTTTCTTTCTTTTCTTGTTGTTGTCCCGTTTCGTTTTTTAGCCATCAGAATTATTGTCTGAAGGCCAAAAAAGATGCCCAACTAACTTAATTTACCAAATGGACCATCACGGCCTTGCCATATTGGTCCATTTGATCAACCTTTGTTATTATTTATTTATTTTAATTTATTTTCAGTTGTTACAGATAGGACAGACATGACTGGGGGATAGGAAGGAAGGAAGGAAGGAAGAAAAGGGGAAGAGGGACAGTGAGAAAGGGCACTTAAAAAATATCTCCCAGGTCACCTGTTGAGAGAAGAAAATAAGAGAAAACAAGCAAAAAAGAGAGCAACATAATAACACAACACCATTGCAATAATCTAGCTAAGTGTAAATAACAGTAAATATTAAATACTGAATGTGATTGTGCAGCACGCAAGATTGACATCGCACAATGTGGTTTGAGGTAGCAGCCAAGAAAGGTGTAGCTTGTGTGTGTGAACACCTGTGTGGATGAGTGCTCGTCTATTCAAAAGGCTTCTCCATGTAACGATCTGCTGGTGTGGGGAGCCACAGCCCCGTCCCCCAGGGCATGAAGCAGGCATGGAGGAGATCCAGGCCCCAGACATCCAGAGGCCCCAGAGTGCGAGCGCCCAAAGAGGACCACCGGAGGGGCAACCGTGCCACCTTCCTGGGAAGAGCTGAGGAGAACCCCAGATGAGGGGTCACCCAACAGCCACAGAGCAGAAGCCAGAGGGGGCGGCAGTGACGTACACGCGGGCTCTGCCGGCAGTCAGCTGTGCCAGAGTGAATCGAGCCCCCGCAAGGGGCCCGACCGAGCCACAGGCACCAGGCCCCACAGAGCAGCCGTACCGGGGAGTGAGCTGGTACAGACCTGAGCGTCCAGCCCTGGACACCAAGAACGCACCGATGTCTGAGGGCATCAGCCACCAGCAGGGAGTGTGGTGAGGGGAAATAAGCCTCCATACCTTGGAGGGCCTGAGATGTTCCAAGGGGGTGGAGTGTAAGACCCGAGCTGACATATAGACACAGATGAATAGGCGCACACAGACCTAAACATGCATTCCCACCCTCATGCACACTGTAAGGAAGAGGACTCCCTTACTGCATTTATTTATATTATATGTATAGCACTTTAGAGCACACCTTTCACTTTATTAAAAGCACCTTATCAAGCAATTTATGAGCATTGCACTTTAAGCATGGATTTGCACACAAGCAGTTTAAATATTTATTGTCTATTTATTGGGAATTTTAAAATCAGTTGGTAGCCTTATTTCAGATCCTGCACAGCTGCTCCTCGTCAAGGAATGTGGTGGTTGTCTGTCAGGAGAGAAGAATGGTGATTGAGATTGTGATTAAGGTTTACCAATAAGGAAAACTAAGGCAAATGTGTGTGTGAAATCTAGGGATAAAAGTGGTGCAAATAAGTGTTTGTAAGTTAATGATTACTCACCTTTCTTGCCTGTGTCCTCTTCAAGGTGTTTGGGCAAATGTTTCCCCGGGGGTCCAGACACCATTTAAAGGTTCCGGGAGAGACCATTGGTAAAGAGAGTGTGGTGAATCTTTTTGTGCTTGGGTTTCTGGGTTTTTATAATATTGGGTTTGGTGTAACATTAAAGTGTGAAATATTTATTAATATGTAAATGTGAAGATGTATTTATGTATTTATTTATTCTTATTGATATATTGTATACTGTGGTGGAAGGTTGGGATTTAAGAATTTACCTGAGAGTGGAATAATGGTTAAGTCTGTGACAGCTGAACATATTTAAGGCTGCCAGTTGTCATTAGAGGATGGATTTTTTGTGCTGTGAAGAAGCTCGACAAGTTAATTGTTGTAAGGAGAGCCATAGAGCAAATAAATACTTTGTTCCACTACACTTGCCTTGGTCTGTCTCACTGTGTTTCCAGCCGCTAAGGGCTGCCCTGTTACACACACATATACAAATACTCGGCGCTCATCCAACCTGGATACAGACACAAATGGACACTGTACATGTACTGTACAGCACGGCCCCTCCTGAGAACCCTCAATGTCTACATGCATTTAAAACTGAGAGGTGGGCACCGGCGCCAGAGGTGAGGTTGAATACAAAGACCGTCCTCTGGACACCGTATAACATGCCCGATCCCAAGGCCCTATATGTATGTGTTATGAGAGTGTGAGTAATGTGGATGTCTAGGTTGTGGAATAAAATCAGTCTGCTGATAAAACAGTGAGCACAGTGAGAAGATCTTCACTGAGCTGATCCATCTCATCTCATAAAATTGAGGCACAGGTGACCAGGAGGGGACAGAGGGGGAACGACCTTTTATTGCTTTTTTCTACAACAATTTCTTAGTTCAGCTGCAGTATTTGATATCCTGTAATGACTAAAATGATAATTTAAACTAATTTACATAAAAAGATTGTCTTTTAAATGTTAAGGTTATTTAACAACTTTAAAGGCTGAGCAGTGCTATTTTTAAATGAAAAACTCACAGGCTCACATGTTCCAGGATTGAATTAGTGTCTGATAACCCTCCCTCTTCCTGCTCTCTAACTCAGCACCTCCTCTCTGTCCACATGTTCCCTTGTTCCCTCCCCTTCTGATCTGCAGTTTGAAGATGGGTGCAACCAACATGTGGTGACGTATAAGAGCTGACAGATCCCATTCGCTACAGAAACCTATGTTGTTTAGATCAGAGCAGTTTCAGTTCTGAGGAAGTGAAACTCACACAGTCACTGACACTGTTGGGTGAAATGGCGCAGAAAAGTGTTCAGCTGGACCGAGAAACCTTCTCTTGTTCGATCTGTTTGGATCTACTGAAGGATCCGGTGGCTATTCCCTGTGGACACAGCTACTGCATGAAGTGTATTGAAAGCTTCTGGGATGAAGAGGAAAAGAAGAAAATCTACAGCTGCCCTCAGTGCCGGAGGACTTTCACAGCGAGGCCTGTCCTGGAGAAAAGCACCATGTTAGCAGTTTTAGTGGAGCAGCTGAAGAAGACTGGACTCCAAGCTGCTCCTGCTGATCACTGCTATGCTGGACCTGAAGATGTGGCCTGTGATGTCTGCACTGGAAGAAAAATGAAAGCCTTCAAGTCCTGTTTATTCTGTCTGGCATCTTACTGTGAGAAACACCTTCAGACTCATAATATTGTTGCAGTTTCATTAAAGAAACACAAGCTGGTGGAGCCCTCCAAGAAGCTCCAGGAGAACATCTGCTCTCGTCATGATGAGGTGATGAAGATGTTCTGCCGTACTGATCAGCAGAGTATCTGTTATCTCTGCCCTGTGGATGAACATAAAGGCCACGACACAGTCTCAGCTGCAGCAGAAAGGACTGAGAGGCAGAGAGAGCTGGAGGTGAGTCGACAAAACATCCAGCAGAGAATCCAGGACAGAGAGAAAGATGTGAAGCTGCTTCAACAGGAGGTGGAGGCCATCAATCAGTCTGCTGATCAAACAGTGGAGCACAGTGAGAAGATCTTCACTGAGCTGATCCATCTCATCCAGAAAAGAAGCTCTGATGTGAAGCAGCAGATCAGATCCCAGCAGGAAACTGAAGTGAGTCGAGTCAAAGAGCTTCAGGAGAAGCTGGAGCAGGAGATCACTGAGCTGAAGAGGAAAGATGCTGAGCTGAAGCAGCTCTCACACACAGAGGATCACATCCAGTTTCTACACAACTACCCCTCACTGTCAGCACTCAGTGAGTCTACAGACTCATCCAGCATCAATATCCGTCCTCTGAGCTACTTTGAGGATGTGACAGCAGCTGTGTCAGAGGTCAGAGATAAACTACAGGACATTCTGAGAGAGGAATGGACAAACATCTCACTGACAGTCACTGAAGTGGATGTTTTACTGTCAGATCCAGCAGAGCCAAAGACCAGAGCTGGATTCTTAAAATATTCACGTGAAATCACACTGGATCCAAACACAGCAAACAAAGAGCTGTTATTATCAGAGGGGAACAGAAAAGCAACATTAATGGAACAACAACAGTCTTATTCTGATCATCCAGACAGATTCACTTGGCGGTCTCAGGTCCTGAGTCGAGAGAGTCTGACTGGACGTTGTTACTGGGAGGTGGAGTGGAGAGGGAGAGTTTATGTAGCAGTCGCATACAAGAATATCAGCAGAGAAGGAGGTGAATGTGTTTTTGGATATAATGACAAATCTTGGTCATTATATTGTTACAACAACAGTTTTACATTTTGGTACAACAACATTGAAACTCCTGTCTCAGGTCCTCGTTCCTCCAGAGTAGGAGTGTACCTGGATCACAGAGCAGGTATTTTGTCCTTCTACAGCGTCTCTGAAACCATGACTCTCCTCCACAGAGTCCAGACCACATTCACTCAGCCGCTCTATGCTGGACTGTTGGTTTACGATGATTATGGAGCCACTGCTGAGTTGATTAAAGTGAAATAGACTGAAGTCTTTCATATTGTTGTAAGTTTAAATCTGTATTTTAGTTCCCTTTTAGTTTCTCTCCATCATTATTGTGGTATTTATGTGCTGCACATAAATCAGATGTCAGTCAAACATTATGGGCAGTACCTCGACATCTTCAACATGTTGTCTTGATGTTTTTACGTTTTATAGGTGGAGCTCTTTCCTGTGTCTGTTCAGCCATGGAGACTATCAATGCTTATGGATATTTTTATTTGAAAAATTTCTCCACATGACAACATAAACTTCTCTATCTTCTAAATGTTTACTGAATATTTTCTTAGGTATTTGTATGTTGTTGTTTCTCTTCACTGATCTTAACAGAGAAGTCTACAGACCTTCCTTTATCACACAGATTTTATTCTCATTTGTACATTTATAAAGAAAACAATTAATTACAGAGCAATAAGAAATTTTAAGAAAGTGCACTATATCATAATTTATAGTAAAGTGTATTAAAGCATCGTTAGTTAGTCACTTATTTAGTTTGGAGCTGTATCATCTGACACTGTAGAAACATTTCCTCCAGCTTCAGCACAGAATGTTAAAAACAGAACTATTAATGAGAACAAACAGTAGGAACACAGTATCAGCAAACATCATGGCTTAAAATGGAGAGTAAAAATCTAAAAAGAAATAAACAAATTAGTAAAAAGGATTTCCTGTTGACATGTTATTGGTCCTATCTTGTCTGCAGCACCTCCAGGATGCTTCTTATATGTTTCTGGTTATTTTTGCACCAATTTTAGTTTTTGTCAGTAGGAAGTTCAAGTTCAACTCAGTGTGTTTGTTTGTTTTTTTCAAACTGATGCCTGACCTTGAACACCAAACATCTGTCAATAAAGCAATGATATAAAATGCTTATATTAGTACTGAAAAACTGCATATCCACTTTACAAATATAAATAATGATATAAATCCACAGCTGAACTGGAGGAGCAGCTGATCTAGTTCACTCATGTGTTTCTGGACTAAGAGTTGGAGCAAATACCTTATGATTCAGTGATGTTTGTTTTTGTTCAATATTTTGTAGATCCAAGAGTGAGTTTGACTCATGATGATGATGTTCCGAATTAAACAAAGTTGGTCACAAATTCTTCAAAGCTGTTTATTAAGAATATATTCACTTGGACTCATGAGACAGGCTTGTGATCCAAGGGAGCCATCAACTGGACAATTACTGACATGACAACAAAAAAGCTAAGTACAGAGGGGGAACAGAGGTGAAAATACTTGCTTTAAAGGATTGTAATGTTTCCTTTTAAAATAAGTCTCTAAGGTCAGACAAAGGGACAGAAACTCATAGCTTTCTACCAGCCCAATGACAAAACTATAAGTTGTTTTTTAACATCTACTTTTTCATCTATTTGGCAGTCACAGTGAAAAGTATAAACATTGGCACGCTTTGTCTTGTGATTCTGCTGTTCGTAAAAAATGACCATGCGCAAAGTACCAGACTTTAAGGCTTTGACTTGATGCCAATGGCCTGAGGAGGACAGTATTACCCTTGGACATGTGTAGTCTGCCGTCTACTCAATAGAAGAACAAGAAGCGCGGAAATGGCACAACTGTCTTCAGTTTCTGGGAGAGTTTAACAATGAGAGACTGATGATGCAGAAGAAATCTCCGTGGTTAAAAACATTAAAAACAGTCGTCCAGGATGATGAGATCCGCCACTGGCTCAGACTGCTGTATATCAGCCGGAGACCCGAGATGAAGTCACGCAGCAGGTATGTAAAACTGTGATGTTCTCAATGAACTAACACAGGAACGATCTGAGCTCAGTCTGTAAGCTAACAGGCTAAAATCAGAGAGCAGCTAATCAAACAAGTGCGTCCGTTTTTTTTAAAGGTCAACTTTTAACAATAGACTTTCATGAGACACATCAAAACCAAACAGGGAGGGAAAGCTTCGGTTTTCTGCACTGTGCCACAGTTCGCTGTCTGCTTCGGTTCACGACGCCTCACTCCGGGGCTACAGACAGTTCTCTGCCGCCTGTGGTGCTCCTCACCTCCGTCTGCACCCACAGACTTCCCGAGGTGGAGGCAGGCCGGCAGGGACTTTGAGAGATGGGCTTTACTTTTAAAAATACCCCTTAATCAGGGTCTAACTCACTAAAAGATGGCCACATGTCTCTCTCCAACTTAATCTCTTTTTTTTAAGTAATTGTTTTTCATTGAAATGAAATTAATTGTTCAATAAAATGATTACATTTATAATTGAATTCAAGTTAAATTAATCAAGGTGATTTTGACTTTGCTAGTTAACAGGAAGAGAAACAAACTTACACAGGATAAAATGAAATTTGGACCCAGCAGAAAAAGTCAGATCACAGACAAACAGAAACATTCCTCTTTGGCTAAAATAAAATGCAGATTATTGCTCATCTGCAGTTTTAATCATGGTGAATAATTTATGATTCAGCCAAGTAAGATTCTTCTGTGTGGAGGTTTTTCCCCTGTCAAAAGGCATTGACCATTACCTTCATCTAAACATGGAATTTAAGTCATGTAGTTGCCGTTGTTTGTTTTTAAAGAGGTCATAATATTTTTGTGATGGTAGAAATTTATCTTCAAAGTAATAGTTATAAAGTGAATTAATAAGACTTTCCAACAAAGAGAGGGAGTCACATGGTGCTTCTGAAACATTTGTACAAACCTCTCTCACATATGTGAGCAACATGCTCACAGTGTACAGCCCTGCTGACTGAGGCTGCACCTTTACCTGTCTAATCTTTTTCTTTTTACTTTGTTCCTCAAGTCCCACATCAACATGAAGTGTAAGGAGGAGGAAGATCTGGCTGGCCAGCAGGTCTGGAAGCAGGAGAGGAACTTCAATCTGGACCAGGAGGACACAGATCCCCCACAGATCAAAGAGGAACAGGAGGAACTCTGCATCAGTCAAGAGGGAGAACAGCTTGTAGTGAAACACGAGGATGAAGGCATCGTCGTCTGGAGCGGGGAAGAGCGGCTCAGACAGCTGCGTAACATCTGGAAACCTGAGAAAGATTTACAGACCAGCGGTAAAACTGTAATCGCTTTTCTGAAGTGTTAACATTAATATTAAACCTACAGTTTGTATCAGTCAGATCTATTTAATGTGTATTCGTGAAAACATGACAGGGAGTTTTAAATGGACTGGTTCTTATATAGCGCTTTTCTACTCAATCTTGAGCACTCAAAGCGCTTTACAAAACTTGTGCATTCACCCACTCACTCCCATTCGCACAAGCACATTTTTCTTAGTGCTTTCTACCAACATTCAGACACACATTCCACAGATCAAAGAGCAACTTGAGGCAACTTGGAGTTAGTATCTTGCCCAAGGATATTTGAAATGCAGACTAGGTGAAGCCGGGAATCGAACCGATCAGTAGATGATCTGCTCTACCGCCTGAGCTACAGCCACCCCCAATAGTGAAGATTATTTTGAAAAATATCAAGATGTAGATCAGTTTCGAGATCAACTCCAAAATAGATCATCAGTCAGTCAGTAATAAGTGAGTTCTTTTTTGTTTGAAAGGTTTTTTTTACTCTTAATGTTGCTGAAAAATGTCAGAACTCAAGTTCTCATTTGCATCAGAGTGCACAAATAACTTCATTTTTACACACTTTTAATTTCACCTGCAAATGTGAGCAACATGCCCTCATGACAGACTTTAGTATTTAGTATTTATTTATTTATTGTCATTGTCAAGAACAATGAAATTGCGTTTGGGGCTTCCATACAACCCAAAAAAAAGAAGAAAATAATAAATACCCCTTAAAACCCATGTGTACATATTTAACCCAGTGTGACTCCAATGCAATAAGACAATCCTTAGCAATAATGTTCGTAGAAATTCAGACAAAGACCTGAGAAACATGACAAAATACAACAATGCAACCCATTCAATATTATTGTACTGTGAGATATGATATCAGATATGATAGTTATCTATTTAAGAAAGAGGGGGGGGGGGCAGGAGGGGGAAGAGAATAAAGATATGATGCACCAATGCAGACCAGTTCATTGCTATTAAGAAGTTGGATATGGTTATTGTCCGTGAGAGGGGGGCAGAGAGTTCAGGAGCCTCACAGCCTGTGGATACAGGCTGTTGGCCAGTCTGGATGTTCTGGCCTGTATAGACCTGTACCTTCTCCCTGAGGGCAGCAGATGGAAAAGGTGGCGCGCAGGGTGATGTTGGTCCCGCAGGATACTGTGCACCCTCCTCAGACAGCGAGTGGGGAAGATATTACTGATCTCTGGCAGACTTGTTCCAATAATTCTGCCAGCTTCTTTCACCACCCGCTGGAGTGCTTGCTGATCGGCCTTGGTGCAGCTGGGGAACCACACTAGAAATCCATACGTCAGAACGCTGCTGATGGCACAGTTGTAGAAGTTCAACATCAGAGATCTGGGAATGTGTGCGCTCCGCAGTCTCCTCAGGTAGTAGAGGCGCTGTTGGGCCTTCCGTACAACTGAGGTGATATGGTTGCCCCAGGACAGGTCCTCGGTCACAGTTACCCCCAAGAATTTAAAACTGCTCACCCTCTCCACCGCCTCACTGCCAATGAAGAGAGGCAGATGGTTGTTATGGCCCCTCTTCCGGAAATCTACAATGATCTCCTTGGTCTTTTTGGTGTTTAAGACCAAGTTATTGTCGTGGCACCATGACTCTAGTTGTTGCACCTCTGTCCTATAGTTTGTCTCATCATTGTTGGATATAAGTCCGAGCACTGTAGTGTCATCTGCAAACTTAACAATGAGATTGGACGCGCAGGAGGAAATACAGTCATGGGTGAAGAGAGTGTATAGCAGAGGGCTCAGAACACACCCCTGAGGGGCACCGGTGTTGACCACAAGGGTGGAAGAGGTGTTCTTACCCACTCTGACACTCTGTCTACGGTTAGTGAGGAAGTCCACAATCCAGTTGCACAGAGAGGAGTTAAGTCCCAGTTGGTGGAGTTTGGGACGGAGTTTGTATGGCCGGATGGTATTAAAAGCCGAGCTGTAGTCTACAAAGAGGAGCCGTGCATAGGTGTTCCTGTGTTCCAAGTGCTTCAGTAATGTGTGCAGCACTGTGGCGATCGCATCCTCGGTTGACCGGTTCTCCCTGTATGCAAACTGGTGCGAGTCCAGGGATGGTGGAAAAGCAGCTCTGATGTGTTTAATGACCAGTCTCTCCAGGCATTTGGCGGGAATGGGGTGAGTGCCACAGGTCTGAAATCGTTCAGACATGTGACATTTGACTGTTTTGGGATGGGAACGATGGTTGCTGCTTTGAAACAGGATGGTACCAGTGAACAGGACAACGAGGTGTTATATATAGAGGTGAAGACGTCCGCCAGGTCCGCAGCACAGTCTTTTAGCACCCGGCCCAGCACTCCATCCGGCCCGGCCGCCTTCCTGGTGTTAATGCTCCGGAACACACGCCTCAGCTCATGAGTGCTCAGGACCGGAGCAGGGTCGGTTGAGGGGAGAGGGGACAGGACAGGGTCGGTGTTCTCCCTGTCAAAACGGGCATAAAAGAGATTTAAATCCTCAGCCAGAGTAGAACTGTTGGCTGAGGGTGATGGTGTTCTTCTTTTGTAGTCCGTGATAGCCCTGATGCCCTCCCAGACCTGCCTTGGGTTTGTGTTGTTCTCAAACCTGGCCTCGATACGCCTCCTGTGCTGCTGCTTGGCAGTCTTGATGCCTCTTCTCAGGTTGGCCCTGGCAGCACTGTATGCCTCCTGGTCCCCGGATTTGAAAGCGTTGTTCCTTGTTCGAATAAGTTGTTGAACTCCGTGTGTCATCCAGGGTGGATTATTAGGGAACACACGGAATCGTTTCCAAGTTGTTACATTGTCCACACAGAAACAGATGTAGTCCAAGACAGTGGAGGTGTAACTGTCCAATGCGACATGATTGTCAGTGTCCTGCACCTTGAATACATCCCAGTCTGTGCAGTGGAAACAGTCCTGAAGCATCGGAATAGCGTCCTGCGGCCATGTTCTCACGGTTTTGGTTGTAATCCCAGTGCTCTTGATCTTTTGTGTGTATATTGGGTGTAGCAGAAGGGAGAGATGGTCTGACAGACCCAGGTGGGGATAAGCCTGGGCTCTGTACGCATTCGCCATGTTGGTGTACACCTGGTCCAACGTTCTATCTAACTAAAACTTTATCTTCTCAGAAGTGTTTTTCTATAATTACATTTTTTTTTATTGTTCGTTTAGAAGCAATAGTGGAGAGACCGGCTGACTGCTGCAGAAGAAATCTGCTCTGAGGTTAACAGAACGTCTGATCGTCCAGTATGAGATCAACCTTCAGCAGAGACTGCTGGATATCAGCCGGAAACCCGAGATAAAGTTACGCATAACAGGTAAAACTGCGATGGTCTCAGTGGACTAACACAAGAATACAACTCATGTAGGACCTGATCAGAGCTCAGCTTGTAGGCTAACATACTGAAATCAGGGAGCGGCTAATCACACAAGTGCGTCTCTTTTTTACGGTAAACTTTTAGCATTAAACAAACCTTGAGACCGAGAGAAAGTGCCTTTATAGAAGATTTATTTAGAAGATTAAGATAAAGGAGGCAGGGAGGGAAAGCTTCTGTTTTCTGCACTGTGCCACAGTTCGCTGTCTGCTTCGGCTCTCTGACCCTCACTCCGGGGCTACAGACAGTCCTCTGCCGCCTGTGGTGCTCCTCACCTCCGTCTGCACCCACAGGCTTCCAGGGGTGGAGGCAGGCCGGCAGGGACTTTGAGAGATGGGCTTTACTTTCAAAAATACCCCTTAATCAGGGTCTAACCCTACAAGACCATCGTGCCTCCCCCACCATCCTCACCTCATGTTAAAATGTATATTTTTCAACTGAATTATATTTGGGTTCAAGAAAATGATGAAGTTTTTAAAATAACTTTGTAATGTTCTAATAAACAGTCTTAACTCGAACTAAATCAGCTCAAATCTCACAGATGTCAGTGTTATTCACAAAGCATGGAAACATAGTTGTTAGTTTTGAATGCAGCCACAGCAGGCAAACTATGGCTGCATGCTCCAAAGAACAGGAGCACAGTAACTGAACACACTCTTAGCACACTTACATCTGATTTTGGGAACAGTTAACAGATCTGAACCTGATGACCTGAGAGGTTTAACTGGGTCAAAGGTCGAGAGCCAATTGAGAACTGTACAGTTAAACCAACTAAATGATGAAACCTTTGATTTAAAATGTCATGATCAACAGTATCAAAGGCAGCAATGAGATCAAATAGAACTAAGACTGAAACTCTGAGTCCCTAATAATCTTCAGATCACTGATGACTTTAGTTGGGTTGATTCTGTGCAATGACTGGCTGTGAAACCTGACTGGTACTTATCTGCTATGGCACTGTGAGATTTTCAGTTTAATCTACAACAATGACAAACATTTACTTGCAGCGTGAAGCTGGCAGCAGCTACCTGAATGATTTGTACTCTGAACTTTCCTAATAAGAGTATCAGAGCTCGAGAGTAACTTACACTTTCATTTTTCACATTTGTACAGTTTAAATTTCACTCCCATATGAGGACATGCTCAGAGTGGACTATATTTGCTCAGCTGTGTTTTCCTGTCATCACATTATTAACCTTTTTCCTCAGTGACCCTTTGTTCCTCAAGATCTCCCCTAACATGAAGTGTGAGGAAGAGGAGGGCCTGTATGACCAGCAGGTCTCCAACCAGGAGAGGAACTCCAGTCTGGACCAGGAGGGCCCAGATCCTCCACAGATCAAAGAGGAAGAGGAGGAACTCTGCATCAGCGATGACGTAGAAAAGATTGTACTCAAACAGGAGGATGAAGGCCTCATCTGGACTGAAGAAGAGCAGCTCAGACAGCTGGATAACATCTGGAAACCTGAAATGAACTTACACAGCAGGGGTATGTAAAACCGTAACGGTCTTACCTAAAAATTAATATGACTTTAATTCATTCAATAAAGATATTTTGGAAACACATCAGAGTTCTTCAAGGCCAGTGTTTAAATAAACTCAGCTGATTGTTAGTCGAGGTTTTCTGAGAGCTTCGCTGCTTTTTATCCCCATATTTTAATCCTACTTTTAAATTTCCCCTTCTGTCTGATGTTTGTCTTATCATTTACATAAACATCTTTCCAACAGTAATTGGTGGACAAACTGTGATTGGTGCATAGAAATTTACTAACGTGTTAGAAGTGAGTGCATGAAATCTTATTTTAACAGTTTCCAGGTCTGGGTAAATGATATGATGATATTTCTGATGATATTTTGATTAAACTCTGTTGTAGAGTTGGAAATGGACAGCTGTAGACACCACTGCCGAGTAGTCATTCTTGTTATACTTCTATATTTATCTAAGACAAGTAATTTTGTCCATTTGTCACCTCAGCTTTCCCACAACAGCATGAATGTGAGGAGGAACTGGTTTTTGGGGACCAGGAGAGAAACTTCAGCCTCGACCAGGAGGATCCGGAGCTTCCACAGATAAAAGAGGAACAGGAGGAACCTTGCACCAGTCAGGACGTAGATCAGCTTGTAGTGAAGCAGGAGACTGAAGGCATTATTATCTTCATGGTGGCTCCTACTTATGAGGAAAGTGAGCCAGAGCTGGACAGTGAACATCTCCTTTCTTCCAGCTCTCCTGAACCAGAGAGCAGAGATCAGCAAGACAACTTTCCTGTGTCAGAGAGTCAGCGTAAAACTGACACAAGTAAAAAGTTTGTGAAATGTGAGATTTGTGGAAAAACCTTTGAGTACAGATCCAAACTAACGAGACATATGAGGGTTCACACAGGTGAGAAGCCACATTCTTGCAGCACCTGCGGAAAAAGATTCAGCCTGATGATAAACTTGAAAACTCACATGAGAATCCACACAGGTGAAAAGCTTCATTCAGAGGATACAGTTACAAAGACACATGAGGATTCACACTAGTTAAAAGTGGGAGAACTGTCAGATGAAGCAGTCCACTGAGAAGCCAGATCAGAGCAGATCAGATGACCTCCTTCCTTAAAAACTCTGTATTGTTTATTGTATGTAGGGGTGGGAGATATAGCCTCAAAATAATATTTCAAGAAACTTACATTTAAAAAAAATAATGTACATTTTATCAGCTCGGCAGGCAGCAGCATTTATATGTGTAAGTAAATGATGGATTTTCCATCTTTCTCTTCCAGTGAGCTGCTGTCACTGATGACAGCTTAGCTAATTCAAAGTGTGAAAATGTGGCCACCTCAAGGTGCTTGATATTGTAAGGTAAAGACCCAACAATAATACAATGAAAACAGAGAAAACCCAAACAGTCATATGACCCCTATTAGCAAGCGTTTTGGCGACAGTGGGAAGGAAAAACTCCTTTTTAACAGGAAGAAACCTCCAGCAGAACCAGGCTCAGGGAGGGACCCCCATCTGCAACAAGGAAAGTTTTAAGTCTAATCTTAAAAGCTGAAGGCTCTGCCTCCCATTCTACCTTTAAATACTCTATGAACAACATTATAGTGCAATGTTAGTGACACGGCATACATGAAATATGAGCACATAAGTATCCTCAGGGGTGTTTTTCCTGGAAGTTTTAAGAAAAGTGTATTACAAGTGCTTACACTCTAGCTTAATATCCAAAATAACCTTGTAATGCGGAGCCTGCACAATTCTGTCATATAAGCAGAGGTGGAAAGTAACGAATTACATTTACTTGCGTTACTGTAATTGAGTAGTTTTTTTGTGTATTTGTACTTTTTAAAGTTATTTTTCAAGTCTGTAATTTTACTTTTACTTAAGTATATTTTTAAAAAGTATTGTAGTTCGCTACGTTTTCAATCACACCCGTTACTGAGTAAATTAAAAAAACCATTGCACTTCGGAAATACTGCAGGGAATGATGGGTAGTAGAACAAATTGGCGCTAAGGTCACGTTAAAGATGGAGTCTGACATCGGTGTTATGGATCCAGTGAAAAAAGAAGCCCCGTCGAATTCTGCTGACCCTGAACTCGAAGAAACGGATGTGAACCCCTGGCCGTATTTAAGGGACCATTTCGGCTTCAAGTGCAAGAAAGGCAACAGCTTTATTATGCAGTGTAAGCTGTGTTTGCCCAGAGAGACCGAGTTAGCAGCTTTTAAAAATTCCACATCAAACCTGCGCAAGCATGTGGAGGTAAGTTAAATACAACTCGTACCGTTATGGTAGCAAAAAGGCTGTGTTCAAATTAATCACATTAAGTTAAGACATCTGTGAAGAACACAGATAACGTTGGTTGGTACTAGCAACTTGCTGTAATCGGGCACGTTGTTGTCCACGCAACTTACATTTTTTTTACTGGGTTGGTAAATTGCCAAAAGAAAATGTGTTTACCTACGTTTTTCCTGTTTGTTAATAATAAGAATTTATTTAAAAAATAGTTAAATTAAAGACAGAAGCGGCTACTTTCTTACTTAACCCACATATGTTCACACTGCAGGCAAAAGAATAACAGAGCGCTCACTTACCTTAGATTAGTCAAAGACAGCTGACTTCTGTTACTTGTTAATTAGCACTTGCAACCTCCCGTTAACTAGCCTGTTACTGTCCAATAAAAAAACCCCACGAGGTATATTGGTATAATTTACCAGCGGTAGCTATGTAATGCATTGATGTCTTATTAGGGACATCAAAAAACTTTCTCTCAAACTTAACACTGGCCTGCCTGCCTCAGCTGCCTTCGAGCGTCTCTTTAGCTGTGCTGGACTACTGTTCACTGCAAAGTGAGCAAGGATGAACTCTACTAACTCTGAAAATCAACTGCTCCTCAAAATTAACAGGAAGTTCAGAGAGTAACACTCTAGGATGGATACAAAGGAACTTTAATCTAGAGGTACAGTAGGGCAGGACCAAGTTTAAAAAATTCAAAAACATTTTTAAAGCAGCTGCCGTTCAGTTCAGTACTTGTTCTCTTATTTGACAGTTTAGAACACATTCTCATGTGAAAGAATGATATGGTTTTGTATTGAAAACACTGTGATACCTGACGGTTTGGTTTGGTTGATTGGTTTGGTGACCATTATCCATTTTCATGTATAGACTTGCAGTTTAACTGCCACTGCACTTTAATTTGTAAAGTTTTTCTTTTCACTAAAAAAGAACTACTTTGAGATTTATATCCCACTGTCCTTTTTTGCACTACTCAGAAGCGGCTGTCCTCCTGCTGACAGAAAAGTAACTATGTAACTTTTACTCTGAGTACATTTTAAATGAGCTACTTTTTACTTTTACTTGAGTACATTTTTAGACAGGTAATTTTACTTGTACTTGAGTAAAATTTCAGCAAAGTAATAGTACTTTTACTTGAGTAAAATATTTTAGTACTCTTTCCACCTCTGCATATAAGGAAAAGAAATTCTACCTGGTTTGTTTCATCTTGGGTCGAGCTTTTTAACCTCCTGCTTTTCCACCGTGTAGCACATCAGTAATTTCCATCCACTGACTGCTCTTGCTGTTATATGAAATGTAACTCGCGAGTGCTCCAGTGATGCATGGTTGAATCATTTGTTTACCTTTGGGTCGCACATAGAGCTGGGCGATATGAGATTTTTTCATATCACGATATGTTTTTTTCATTTCAGGCGATAACGATATCTATCACGATATAAGCCAAATAAGTATATTTGTAAGATTTAAATGTGCCGTTGCTCACAAGTAAAATGTGAAATAATCAGCAGCTTGTTTTTATTTAAATATTTATTTCCCATAATAAGTTCAACAGGGTAGATGTACTTAAGGAACATGAGACTTTTTCAGATAAATAAAGGCAAATATTGCAAACTACACAAAAGGCAGCCGCTAAAGCGTTTAAGTTTCAAAATAGAACAAACGAAACAGACTAAATTGTCAATTCCACTTAGAAACAAAATATTAATTCTAAGAATAAATCTTAGTTTGTTTTACAGAAGAACAGACAAAACTGACTAACTTTTGTCAATATCAAATAAACTGAGAACTAAAAGGAAATTCTCAATCTCTCCTTGTTGTATAGCTGAGCTTTTCAAACAGTTTTAACAGTTACTTTAGTCTGACAAAAGCCGAATGACGAATTAGCGCTTCCAGTCAGAGACTGAGGCTACGTCCACACGTACACGGGTGTTTTTGAAAACGGAGATTTTCCGTTTTCGTTTTCGTTTTAAAAAATAATCCCGTCCACACATAAAGGCAGAAATGAAGGAAAACGCTGCTATGAACATACCAAAGCAGCAGGTGGCGCTAGATTCCTAACCGTGCCTAAATGTTGGCCAATCAGAAGTCTAGAAGCCTCGGTGGGAAAAAGTAAACAAAGCTGGGGCATAGAAGCAGAACCGAGTCGTAAGTGTGGAGGGACAGTAACTGTGTGTATATGTAAGCATTTAAACACTAACAGTAACAGTATTGTAGAAATTCATTTCACCGAAACAATAACGCGGCGCACAGTGTGACGCATGCACCAGTTTATTGTATTTCCAGACTTGCTTTCGGCACAATTTACAGTGCACGCTACTCTGTTTTTTGTCAGACTTGAAATAGCCGAAATACCTTCACACTACGGAACTTCTATGGCTCTTCCGTTCGACAATCTCTCCGGCGTTGGAACCATCATCTGTTTTCTCTTTGGTCACGCTCGGTTGATTTTTCTAGTCGGCACACTCATT